TCCGATTTATCAGTATTTGGCTCGTGTTCAGAACCGGTCAATCCGGAAGGACCTTTATTTTCTTCCATTAATTGCTTGTATCGTGGGCCCATTTTCCTATGTTGTTATTGTTGTGGATAGGTAGGTACCTTGTTCCAATTGAGTTTGGAAATACTATACCAAAAAAAGTGGGAATTGTTAGCGGGAGTATTCATCTAGTTCTGGTGGACGGTTAGTAATTATTCTTGCAAAATTAGGTGAATTGGGGAACAAAAATGAACATTTTGAAATAACAAAGAAGATTTAGGAGAGATAAGAAATTATGCGATCTTATGATGGATGTGTCAAGAATTAAAACATTATATGTGTGAGCCTACATATTGACTGTGCACTGAACTTTCTATTAATGCAGGAGATCGGGGTTTATTTTCATTTTTCAGGGGTTTTTAAAGTTCGGCTTATTTTTTTATTGGTGGTAGTTCTATTTTGGGAAATTCGTAAAAAGTTTTACTTGAATCTTAAATGACAGAAATATAGGCGGCATCCGGCCGCCCCTAGATTTGGCCGCCCGCGTGCGGGGCACGCGCTGCACACCTGCTAGGATCGGCCCTGACTTATAGTTTTAGAAATAAAATTGTGTTAAGCAGTTTGGGGTATTTTTTCAATTTTTCAAGTTTTCTGAGTGGCTTTTTCAAAGATTTCGGCTTCAAATCTGAGAATAATTTAATGTATGGAGTTCAGGGGGTCCCAAAGGACCATTATGACACAAAATCTCGACAAAAAAAAAATTGAAATTTCATCGTTTTAGTAAGAAGGTTTAATTTAGATTTTGGAACAATTTGAAAGGTCATAACTTTTTTCTATTAGAGACAGAAAGCTGAAATTTTCAGCAATTTTTATCCCAATAGAGGACTATATCTGAAAATTTTAACTCATTTGGACTTATAATTTCTGAGATAAAATCGTGTTAAGCAATTGGGGTGATTTATCAATTTTTTAATTTTTCTGAGTGCCTTTTTTCATAGAATCTGGCTCCAAATTTGAGAATAATTTATTTTATGGAGTTTGGGGGATCCCAAAGGACCATTTCGATACAAAATCTCGACAAAAAAAAAATTGAAACTTCATCATTTTAGTAAGAAAGTAGGTAGGTACCTACCTTATGATTTAGATTTTGGAAAACTTTGAGAGATCATAACTTTTTTTCTATTACATATAAAAAGCTGAAATTTTCAGCGATTCTTACCTCAGTAGAGAACTACAATCCCTGAAAATTTTAACTCATTTGGACTTATAATTTCTGAGATAAAATCGTGTTAAGCAATTGGGGTGATTTATCAATTTATCAATTTTTCTGAGTGCCTTTTTTCATAGAATCTGGCTCCAAATCTGAGAATAATTTATTTTATGGAGTTTGGGGGATCCCAAAGGACCATTTCGATACAAAATCTCGACAAAAAAAAAATTGAAACTTCATCGTTTTAGTAAGAAGGTAGGTACCTACCTTATGATTTAGATTTTGGAAAACTTTGAGAGATCATAACTTTTTTTCTATTACATATAAAAAGCTGAAATTTTCAGCGATTCTTACCTCAGTAGAGGACTACAATCCCTGAAAATTTTAACTCATTTGGACTTATAGTTCCTGAGATAAAATCGTGTTAAGCAATTTGGGGTGATTTTTCAATTTTTCAATTTTTCTGAGTGCCTTTTTTCATAGAATCTGGCTCCAAATCTGAGAATAATTTAGTGTATAGAGTTTGGGGGATCCCAAAGGACCATTTCGATACAAAATCTCGACAAAAAAAAATTGAAATTTCATCGTTTTAGTAAGAAGGTACCTAGCTATTGTCGATTTTTAACTGACACTTTCTGTATGAGGAGCGAGGAGGAATTTGCAATTTGGGGTGTTTTTACAATTTTTCAATTTTTCTGAGTGTCTTTTTTTCATAGATTTCGGTTATAAATCTGAGAATAATTTATTGTATGAAGTTCAGGGGGTCCCAAAGGACGATTAAGACACAAAATCTCAACAACAAAAAAATGAAATTTCATCGTTTTAGTAAAAAAATGATTTAGATTTTGGAGAACTTTGAAAGGTCATAACTTTTTTTCTATTAAAGGTAGAAAGCTGAAATTTTCAGCGATTCTAATCCCAGTAGAGGACTGCTATCCCTGAAAATTTCAACTCATTTGGATTTATAGTTTCAGAAATAAAATCCTGTTAAGCAATTTGGGATGATTTTTAAATTTCTCTAAGTGCCTTTTTTCATAGATTTCGGCTTCAAATCTGAGAATAATTTAGTGTATGGAGTTAAGGGGGTCCCAAAGGACTATTAGGAAATTTCATCGTTTCAGTAAGAAGGTAGCTATCTTATGATTTAGATTTTGGAAAACTTTGAAAGGTCATAGTTATTAGAGTCCTTCTAGAATCAAGAAGCAACAGCCCAGACTTCAGAAATTAATAAATCCTAAGAATATTCTCTTAGAAGAATCAGAAAAGTATTGAGTATTGACTCAAATTCCAGTATTTTAGAGTAGAATAATTAGGAACATACATTCAGTTTTTACATAGCAACAAATCTGAAATGGGACATTTTTTTTCTAATTTCAACCCACAAACCCTCACTTTTGTGAATAACAAAAGGAAATTTCAAGAGCCTGGAATAAAACAGATAATTTAAAAAATTCAAGAATGACAAAACTAAAGAGGAGTTCAGGAATTATTAGTCAGAAATGCATCTTAGAATATTTTTAAGCTGGGTGATTCTTAGTATGAAAAGAATCAGAAAGGCAACTTCAATTATGACTATGAGATACCTAACAAATTTGTAATCTGTGACAAACTCTTAAATAATCACTCATAACTTCGTTACTTTTCAACACATAAACTCAAATTAAAGATTTTCTGAAAGAGGATTAAATTCTCTATAAAACCATATTGAATGAACTAGAATTAAGTTTTTACAAGTATCAAACTATTTAACTTGGAAGTTGAAACTTTGTCAAAATGAGGTCAGAAACTTTTGTGGAACCAAAATATACTCCTGGACAAAATTATCGCACCACTGCACATAAGCATCACCATAAGCAGTGGTGCGATAATTTTGTCCAAGAGTAAGTATATATATAGTCCAAAAACTAAGATTCGAATTATTCGAAAAGAAAGACAAAATGAGCTATTTAATAGCCTAGATAAAATAATGACAAAATTTAATTTATTTACTGGAAAATTTTAGCTCAATTCAAAAGTTTCGATTTCTCTCTAAAATTTCTCCATAAAGGGGGTTCCACTTGTTCGGCGTGGGAATTCCGACCAAAAATGCAAAAAGTTTTACGACGGCTTCGTCATCTCCAGCGAGTAATTATTGTCGGTTGTAATTTCGGGTAAAAGGTACCTGCTGTGCAAGTACACTGTCCTCGATTTCATTGAAGAGACGTTTTACAACACTTTTTGGCACCTTGAGAATCATTTTCGTATTCGGTTCCCAGACTTCCGATCACGTACCTTCGATTTTCGATATTTTTATTTGGGTACCACTCTTAAATAGATTTGATAATCCTGACAAAGAACAATGCAATATGTAAAATAAGACAACGAGATATAGATTCATCCTAATATGAATTCTATGAAAAATATCTCAATAGAGAAAGTAGAAATAAGATAACTATACACTTGTTTCTTTGATTGAATTCTACTCCAGATTCTCTAATGTCACTAATTAAGGAACCTATTGAAGTAAAACCTATTTTGAAGCTCATATATTGTTTACTGGAACATATACAATTTCTAGCTGTATACAAAAAGCATTAATTTAATAGATAAATCCATTAATTTTTATTACAAATCCCTAACACCTGGGTCACCTGGTTTGGATCCTTATTATTGCCTACGCCCTTGAAAACAAATTTATAAATAAAAGCTTATCCCACACGAACGTCATCCCTCAATGTTTCCGACCCCCTTTTTAAGCTGCCTGTTCAAATTTAGATAAGGGGACACTTATCTTAAAAGGGCCACATTAGCGCAGCAAATTCAGCATCGTTTCTAGAAGTCGATCCTAGATTTTTCTTCTTAATTGCATCAAATCAAAAAAAAAAAACATAAGGTAGATACCTAGTCTAGTTATTAAAATTTAAAATACGTATAGATTTAATTAAATTATGAAAATTCTTCTTCAATTTTATTATAAGGGTTGTTAGGTACGCTCCTGATAGAATTCCACCCTTCCTCCTCTAGGTTTATAATCCAAAAAGGTAAAAATAAAGGGGCTCAAATCTGAAGCCGAGCCTGGGTATTGGACGGTTTAGTTGCCGCCCAACCAATAAAACCGAGATAACGGCTCCAATAGATAACTTTCGGAGGCGGAAACGGTTACTTAATGAGGGATAGTGGGGTGAAGGTATCGAAAAGAGTAGTAGGGCGAGAATGGAGTTTTGATACTCTAGTAGTTTTATAACACAATTTTTGTTGAAATTAAAACTATTTATATTTGAGTACGTAGTAACAAATTTCATATTTTGTTTCCATTTGGAAGCAAATTTTTCTTATTCCCGGCTCTTGAATATTCATTATGCCTCTATTCCAGGCTCTCGCAACCTAGCTGCAAAGTTTTCACTGTCTCTAATAATACTAATAATGATAATAACAAATTACTTTATTGCAATATTTTTCAAGACAAAAAATAAACTAAAGCCAGAAAAGATCCTAAAATAAAGGTCAAAAGTATAGATACTTAAATAATTAGAACATAAGAACAATTCACAACTTTTTTCCAAGTTACAAAACATAAAATATTTGGGCCTTAATATACAAAAATACTTCGTAAATCTATGATAAGGTGCTACCCATGTATAAGTAGGTTTTATCAAAATACAAAATCGGTCAATCCTAATATTTGATTGTTACACGTCATTACCAACTTATAAATAATTTTGTCACTAGCAAAACTAAAATGGTGGAAGTTTTATATGAAGGAAGAAAAAATATTTAAATAAATAAATAGCTTAAAATAATGCAGTTATTTGATCAACAAAAATGCATGGACATTCGCAATGAATTTGTCGAAAGAATCTCTGAATTTCAGTTTGGGACGCCTCTCGCAATTCAGTGGCACATTGAGGGTCAAATTCGTGAAAGCTGTTGCCAACCTGAAAAAGAAAACATTCAAAATTATTGGAGTTATTTAACTAACACTCCTTTCAAAAATTGTATGTACAATCGCATATCAGTTTCCTATGTTTAACAAAAACAATAAACTTTTTACTTGCACTCAAATTGTCCATTTTCAACGTTACACTTTGCACGTGCTTCAGCTGTAAATATAGTTACACACGTGTGTTTCTTGGTAACCAGGTGATTAGATTCGCAGCATACACATACAACTCTTCCTGTTGGTTTTACACCCATTCCAGTCTGCGTCGAAATATACTACCTATTTTTTCTTCACCCTTCATTACATTAGTCCAATATCAACAGTGTTTTTCAAATACCTAAGGATTATTTTGCCTGCAGTCCACAAAGACTTGAGATAATTTGTTCAAAAATCGACTAAGATAGGATACAATACAATACATATAGAATACATCTTGAGGATTTTTCAAAAAAGTGTTCATAGAAAAAGTTTGAAACTTTTGGAGTGGAAAGAGGAAGGAAAGAAGCTCATTATACTGAAGTTCCAAATTAGTTCGATGAAAATAAACTTTCAAGGAAAATGCACCCTTTCACAACTTGAGTATTTTCAAAAAACTGTTGCTTGGAAAATTCTGAAACTTTTGGAGTGAAAAGAGGAGGGAAAGAAGCTCATTATATTGAAATTTCAAATTAATTCTATGAGAAATGGCAATATGAAAAAATCTTGAAAATTAACTTAAGGAAAATGCACCCTTGCATATCTTGAGGATTTTTCAAAAAACTGTTGCTTGGAAAATTCTGAAATTTTTGGAGTGAAAAGAGGAAGGAAAGAGGCTCATAATACTGAAATTTGAAATTAATTCTATGAGAAATGGCAACATGAGAAAATCTTGAAAATTAACTTAAGGAAAATGCACCTTTCCACATCTTAAGGATTTTTCAAAAAACTGTTGCTTGGAAAATTCTGAAATTTTTGGAGTAAAAAGAGGAGGGAAAGAGGCTCATTATACTGAAATTTCAAATTAATTCTATGAGAAATGGCAATATGAGAAAATCTTGAAAATTAACTTAAGGAAAATGCACTCTTTCACACCTTGAGGATTTTTCAAAAAACTGTTGATGGGAAAATTTTGACACTTTTGGTGTCAAAAAAGGAAGGAAAGAGCTGGCTCATTATAATGAAATTTCAAATCAATTTGATGAAAAATGGCAACATAAGAAAATCTTAAAAATTAACTTAAAATAAAAATAACATCAAGGAAAATGCACCCTTTTACATCTTGAGTATTTTTCAAAAAACTGTTGCTTGGAAAATTCTGAAACTTTTGGAGTGAAAAGAGGAGGGAAAGAGGCTCATTATACTGAAATTTCAAATTAATTCTATGAGAAATGGCAATATGAGAAAATCTTGAAAATAACCTAACTTAAGGAAAATGCACCCTTTCACATCTTGACGATTTTTCAAAAAACTGTTGCTTGGGAAATTTTGAAATTTTTGGAGTGAAAAGAGGAAGGAAAGAGGCTCATAATACTGAAATTTGAAATTAATTCTATGAAAAATGGCAACATGAGAAAATCTTGAAAATTAACTTAAGGAAAATGCACCCTTCACATCTTGACGATTTTTCAAAAAACTGTTGCTTGGGAAATTTTGAAATTTTTGGAGTGAAAAGAGGAAGGAAAGAGGCTCATAATACTGAAATTTGAAATTAATTCTATGAAAAATGGCAACATGAGAAAATCTTGAAAATTAACTTAAGGAAAATGCACCCTTTCACATCTTGAGGATTTTTAAAAAACTGTTGCTTGGAAAATTCTGAAACTTTTGGAGTGAAAAGAGGAGGGAAAGAGGCTCATTATATTGAAATTTCAAATTAATTCTATGAGAAATGGCAATATGAAAAAATCTTGAAAATTAACTTAAGGAAAATGCACCTTTCCACATCTTAAGGATTTTTCAAAAAACTGTTGCTTGGAAAATTCTGAAATTTTTGGAGTAAAAAGAGGAGGGAAAGAGGCTCATTATACTGAAATTTCAAATTAATTCTATGAGAAATGGCAATATGAGAAAATCTTGAAAATTAACTTAAGGAAAATGCACCCTTGCATATCTTGAGGATTTTCCAAAAAACTGTTGCTTGGAAAATTCTGAAACTTTTGGAGTGAAAAGAGGAGGGAAAGAGGCTCATTATATTGAAATTTCAAATTAATTCTATGAGAAATGGCAACATGAGAAAATCTTGAAAATTAACTTAAGGAAAATGCACCCTTGCATATCTTGAGGATTTTCCAAAAAACTGTTGCTTGGAAAATTCTGAAACTTTTGGAGTGAAAAGAGGAGGGAAAAAGAGGCTCATTATATTGAAATTTCAAATTAATTCTATGAGAAATGGCAACATGAGAAAATCTTGAAAATTAACTTAAGGAAAATGCACCCTTTCACATCTTGAGGATTTTTCAAAAAACTATTGCTTGGAAAATTTTGAAACTTCTGGAGTGAAAAGAGGAAGGAAAGAGGCTCATTATACTGAAATTTGAAATTAATTCTATGAGAAATGGCAACATGAGAAAATCTTGAAAATTAACTTAAGGAAAATGCACCCTTCCACATCTTGAGGATTTTTCAAAAAACTGTTGCTTGGAAAATTCTGAAATTTTTGGAGTAAGAAGAGGAAGGAAAGAGGCTCATAATAATAATATTTGAAATTAATTCTATTAGAAATGGCAACATGAGAAAATCTTGAAAATTAACTTAAGGAAAATGCACCCTTCCACATCTTGAGGATTTTTCAAAAAACTATTGCTAGGAAAATTTTGAAACTTCTGGAGTGAAAAGAGGAAGGAAAGAGGCTCATTATACTGAAATTTGAAATTAATTCTATGAGAAATGGCAACATGAGAAAATCTTGAAAATTAACTTAAGGAAAATGCACCCTTCCACATCTTGAGAATTTTTCAAAAAACTGTTGCTTGGAAAATTCTGAAATTTTTGGAGTAAGAAGAGGAAGGAAAGAGGCTCATAATAATAATATTTGAAATTAATTCTATTAGAAATGGCAACATGAGAAAATCTTGAAAATTAACTTAAGGAAAATGCACCCTTCCACATCTTGAGGATTTTTCAAAAAACTATTGCTTGGAAAATTTTGAAACTTCTGGAGTGAAAAGAGGAAGGAAAGAGGCTCATTATACAGAAATTTCAAATTAATTCTATGAGAAGTGGCAACATGAGAAAATCTTGAAAATTAACTTAAGGAAAATGCACCCTTCCACATCTTGAGGATTTTTCAAAAAACTGTTGCTTGGAAAATTCTGAAATTTTTGGAGTAAAAAGAGGAGGGAAAGAGGCTCATTATACTGAAATTTCAAATTAATTCTATGAGAAATGGCAATATGAGAAAATCTTGAAAATTAACTTAAGGAAAATGCACATCTTGAGGATTTTCCAAAAAACTGTTGCTTGGAAAATTCTGAAACTTTTGGAGTGAAAAGAGGAGGGAAAGAGGCTCATTATATTGAAATTTGAAATTAATTCTATGAGAAATGGCAACATGAGAAAATCTTGAAAATTAACTTAAGGAAAATGCACCCTTGCACATCTTGAGGATTTTTTAAAAAACTGTTGCTTGGAAAATTCTGAAATTTTTGAAGTAAAAAGAGGAGGGAAAGAAGCTCATTATACTGAAATTTCAAATTAATTCTATGAGAAATGGCAATATGAAAAAATCTTGAAAATTAACTTAAGGAAAATGCACCCTTTCACAGCTTGAGGATTTTTCAAAAAACTGTTGCTTGGAAAATTCTGAAACTTTTGGAGTGAAAAGAGGAGGGAAAGAGGCTCATTATATTGAAATTTCAAATTAATTCTATGAGAAATGGCAATATGAAAAAATCTTGAAAATTAACTTAAGGAAAATGCACCCTTGCACATCTTGAGGATTTTTCAAAAAACTGTTGCTTGGAAAATTCTGAAATTTTTGGAGTGAAAAGAGGAAGGAAAGAGGCTCATAATACTGAAATTTGAAATTAATTCTATGAGAAATGGCAACATGAGAAAATCTTGAAAATTAACTTAAGGAAAATGCACCCTTTCACATTTTGATGCTTTTTCCAAAAACTGTTAATTGGAAATTTTTGAAATTTTTGGGGTAAGAAGAGGAAGGAAAGAGGCTCATAATAATAATATTTTGAAATTAATTCTATTAGAAATGGCAACATGAGAAAATCTTGAAAATTAACTTAAGGAAAATGCACCCTTCCACATCTTGAGGATTTTCCAAAAAACTGTTGCTTGGAAAATTCTGAAACTTTTGGAGTGAAAAGAGGAGGGAAAGAGGCTCATTATACTGAAATTTGAAATTAATTCTATGAGAAATGGCAACATGAGAAAATCTTGAATATTAACTTAAGGAAAATGCACCCTTCCACATCTTGAGGATTTTTCAAAAAACTGTTGCTTGGAAAATTCTGAAATTTTTGGAGTAAGAAGAGGAAGGAAAGAGGCTCATAATAATAATATTTGAAATTAATTCTATTAGAAATGGCAACATGAGAAAATCTTGAAAATTAACTTAAGGAAAATGCACCCTTCCACATCTTGAGGATTTTCCAAAAAACTGTTGCTTGGAAAATTCTGAAACTTTTGGAGTGAAAAGAGGAAGGAAAGAGGCTCATAATACTGAAATTTGAAATTAATTCTATGAGAAATGGCAACATGAGAAAATCTTGAAAATTAACTTAAGGAAAATGCACCCTTTCACATCTTGAGGATTTTTCAAAAAACTGTTGCTTGGGAAATTTTGAAACTTCTGGAGTGAAAAGAGGAAGGAAAGAGGCTCATTATACTGAAATTTCAAATTAATTCTATGAGAAATGGCAATATGAGAAAATCTTGAAAATTAACTTAAGGAAAATGCACTCTTTCACATCTTGAGGATTTTTCAAAAAACTGTTGCTTGGAAAATTCTGAAACTTTTGGAGTGAAAAGAGGAGGGAAAGAGGCTCATTATACTGAAATTTCAAATTAATTTTATGAGAAATGGCAATATGAGAAAATCTTGAAAATTACCTAACTTAAGGAAAATGCACCATTTCACATCTTGAGGATTTTTCAAAAAACTGTTGCTTGGGAAATTTTGAAACTTCTGGAGTGAAAAGAGGAAGGAAAGAGCTGGCTCATTATAATGAAATTTCGAATCAATTTGATGAAAAATGGCAACATAAGAAAATCTTAAAAATTAACTTAAAATAAAAATCAAGGAAAATGCACCCTTTCACGTCTTCAGTATTTTTCAAAAAACTGTTGCTTGGAAAATTCTGAAACTTTTGGAGTGAAAAGAGGAGGGAAAGAGGCTCATTATACTGAAATTTCAAATCAATTCGATGAAAAATGGCAACATGAGAAAATCTTGAAAATTAACTTAAAAAAAAAACAAATTGAGGAAAATGCACTGTCTCACATTTTCATGATTTTTCGAAAAACTGTTGGTGGGACAATTCTGAAACTTTTGGAATGAAAAGAGGATGAAAAGATGCTCATTATATTGAAATTTCAAATCAATTCGATGGAAAATAGCAACATGAGAAAATCATGAAAATTAACTTTAAAAAAAAAACAAATTAAGGAAAGTGCACCCTTTCACATCTTGAGGATTTTTCAAAAAAACTGTTGAAGTGAGAATTTGGAAACTTTTGGAGTGAAAAGAGAAAGGAAAGAGGCTCATTATCCTGAAATTTCAAATTAATTCAATGAAAAATGACAACATGAAAAAATCTTGAAAATCAACTTGAAAAAACAAACTAAGAAAAATGCAGCCTTTCACATTTTGACGATTTTTTGGAGAACTGTTGATGAGAAAACTTTGAAACTTTTGGAATAAAAAGAGGAAGGAAAATTCACCCTGTACATTAGGTTTATTAATTATTATTGTTTATTACCAGGGGAGCTAAAAATCTCCCATTATCCAGTAGCCAGGAAACTCTGGATCTGGAAGTGCATGCCAAGTACACCCGAGATCCAATTGACTTTCTATATGGGATTATTTTCTCTTGACTCATTGTTAAGTATTTAGATACTAAGGTCCAGTTTCACAATTCGTGGTAACCTCCACAAACTCATAGTTGCAGGTTGACTACATGGAATATTCTGAAGCTTGACCAATGGTTTTGGCTAAACCACACATTATGAAACAGATATATTGTAGGTTATTAGTGTCTTGTGGTTACCACTGTTTGTGAAACTGGCCCTTAGTGGACCATTTCGAACATATAGAGTCAGGGTATTCTTTGATTTGTGAGCTTGACCGTAACAGCATGTCTGCAAATTGCACGTTTTTACCTGGTAAATAGTAAACATTCAAAGAGTATTTCAGCAGTTTTAGCCTAAACCTTTTTTTGAATAGCTTTCTTCATTATTGCAATGATAGTTTTCTGATCGGTTTGTACGTCAACATGTTTGTCTGGAAACCTACCAAAACCATTGAAAATGTCTGAATTTTTCTCTATGAACTCATTTTTCTCTGACAAATTTGGGTTTTATATATGTATTTACATTATTTATTTTTTCAATTACTTTTGAACTGAAGCATGCCTAACCACCTACAAGAACCCGATTTGCCCCAATTATAACAAAATCTTCATGAATTTCCTTATCTTCAAATGAACAATGTAAATTTGCTATTCCTTTAGGCTTAGCTTGACTTCCTTCAAACCCTTTTAAAATCTACTGTGTAGGCCTGTTTATCTTCTTGAAACTTTTCAAAGGTATTACACTAACGTCTGCCCCTGTATCAAGTGTTACCTTAATTTCCTTTTACTCGATATTAAAAATTTCTGAAAAATCTTCCCTTTCCCTCTCTGTTCTGACCATGACACTTATCTTTTCTCACTCTTTTCACAAACAAACCATCGCTCTCAGCAGAACTTGAATCATCACTTTGGTCAATCTGTCTTACATTTTTTACACGGCATAAGACAGCAAAGTGATTCTCTATTCGTCTACAGAACTACAATCTTCTCCTTGAAAGACCAACCTTTCTTGTAAGTTCTGAATCTTCGAAAGCTTTTGTCAAGTTTTGCCATGCATCTTTAGCTTCAAGTGAGAAGAATTCAACTTATCCACAGACAAGATTATTTTTAAAAGAACACAACTTGACAACAATGACAACTAACAATATCCTAAACTAACAAAAATTAAATCTTACCTTTCAGCAGTTAAAGAATCAGGTTGACTCTGTATCAATGTTTGGACCAACATCTGATATTCTTCCTGATAACAGCAAATTAAAGTGTAAATAGTCGTAGACGCTGAACTGAACATGTCCATACTGATTTGATAAGAAAGCACCAAATCCATTAATAACTTCAAAAATGGTTTTAAAGCTAATGCAAAAGGAGTATCGAAAGTCTGGTGTCTGAATAAATATGACGCCATACCTAAAATTACAATCTATTAGATTAGAACTTCATTTATACAATACAATTATTACCTTGTATAAAATCTAAACAAGTTTGTACAGTATCAGTACCGAAATTAGTTAGACCAACTTCGATGCTACGTAAAAGCTGGCACATCATATCTTCAGGTAGACTAACGATTTTTTCAGGATAAATATCATTGACCAAAACCAATAATCTATAGAATTGGGTGCATAAATTTGGGAATTTGAGCAACTCTAATGTCATTAGAGGCATTATGAATTTTAGGCCAAAAAGTGAAATGTCTGACGCTGTAACCTAAAGAATTTTCTTATGAGTGTTAATATTGAAATTATTGTCAATTGCTTACTGTTATTTCTTCGTTGTTGCTATTAGCGCATAAATCTATGCAGTCTTTAGACAATATAAATGTTAATAAATCCAGTACTAAGCTTAAATCTTGACAGCTGCTTTCTTCTGCAAACGATTCCGTTGATAGACGGTTTATGTTACATTTTGCATAGGCTTGTACTGTGGCCAAAGAACTTTCATATAATCTGCAAATAATATGGAATTGAATAGTAATTTTTCTAAAAATAATCAACTAAATTAAGCATTACGTATTAATATTTTTCTGGAAAACTACTGAAGGGAAAATTATGAAACTTTTACGATAAACAGACGAAAATTTGGAGCTCATTATACTAAAATTTCCATGTTTTCCAGTGAAAAACAACACCATGGGAAATTAATGAAAATGAACTTGTAATATACATATAAATTGAGCAAAAATGCAAATTTTTTCAGTGAAAAACAACACCATAGGAAATTAGTGAAAGTCAATTTGAAACATCTAAATTAAGCAAAACTGCAATATCTTAGATATTAATACTTTCCTGGAAAAATACTGAAGGGAAAGCTATGAAACTTTTAGGATAAAAAGAGGAAAATTAGGAGCTCATTATACTAAAATTTCAAATTTTTCCAGTGAAAACAACTATGTGGAAAGCTTCTGAAATTCATTTGAAACGCTCTATCAAAGCGCGAAATATTATCTCCATTTAAGAAGCCTTTGAAGTGGGGGAGTTTTTTAATCCATCACACAGTCGAAAGTATCAAAATCCCTTGAAAGAAACATGTAAAAGGTATAAATATTTCCCTTACTTATTGCTATCTGAAGGTCTCAAATAGCATAGCATATATTTAGCACACTGTCCAAAAACTTCCAATATAAGTTGAACAATCACTTGAAAGTCTTTATAGATTGTCAAAAAAGCTGGCAACTCTGCAAGTACAGGCGCCATGAATCCAAACAAAGTATCCACAGAAGACATTTGAGATCCTTTGGCAATCCCTATAAAACATTCCATCAAATCTATGGCCAACTTTTGTACTTGTTCGTCATTGAAATTTTTCTGACTCATTAACGTTTTGAATTTTACTTTCAAGGGGCTCAAAATTCTGTCGTAGTAGGTATTGTTTTCAGTTGGGTCATTCAGACAAACACCTGCAACGTTAAAATTTAATTTCATGTAAAATTCAAGTAAGAATTAATAATTACCTGCTAGAGCCAAGCCCTTATAAACACCCCTCAAAATATTAGGAGGAAGTACCCCAATTTGCATTTGCTCAGTCAAATTAAGTAATTTTGCCATAGACTCAGTTTTAATTATATAAAGTGCCCTTTAATAAAATATAAATTAATTCCAAACTTAAAACCACCCTCCTCAAAAATGTCTTACTTTTGCTTTGTACAAACCATATCACTGAATAATTCTACAGTATCCCTTAAAAGTACAGGCTCCGATTGAAAACTATACAAATTCACCGCAATTTTATTCAAAATAAACGTCACCACGATTTTGCTGCACTCAGAATCTCGCCCAAGGCAAGCCAATAACACCGGACTCATTTCACTGTAGTAGCTTTCATTAGGCAACAAATAGCTGAGGCACCAATGTTTCAGGAACCACATCAGAGTGGAACCCACTTCGGGGCTCATAAATTGTCCTAGTTTCATTGAAATTGCTAGTTCTTCTATTGAAGCTAGACGCATTACACTGTAACTGATTCTGATTATGTGATCGCATTGTTCTAAAATGTCTAGCTTAGAATACTGAAACAAACAATTTATTCAGATTAATAAAGCACGATGATGAAAATATTTACCTTTGCATCTGCATTAGCTAAACACTTGATACTAGCCTCAATATTACTGACACCCTTTTTAGCCATTTCCATGGAATGTGTGGTAATTTCTGAAGGAATTAGGGCAGTTTCACCATCGGAATCCATGCATATTACGTGCCTGGCGATTAAAACTGTCCAATGAATGTCTTCGAATAAATTATCCAATTGGGCAGCTTCGTTTATGTTCATTGCTCTATGTTGCATCACTGAGAGCATGTTAATTAAGGTTTCTGTGCGGGATTCTAGGATCCTAAAAAAATATTTTCTTGTTAGAAGTTTTCTCAATACATTATTAGAGACTTACATGTATAAAACTGGAAGTGAATGTGATAAAATTGTTCGGCTAATTGAACCAATTGTTTGTAGCTGGTCCCTATATTTAGTCCTGTCACTATCTTCCATGTCTTCTTCTATAGGCCCTAAAAACCCAAAACAACTAAAATTTTAAGATGTGATGATTGAATAAATTACCTCCATCATTATTTTCACAATTTTTTCTATTACCATCTGGAGCAGCAAGATGACATTGCACATACTTATCAAATATTCTTGTGGCACACGAATGATGTAGCTCTTTTGGTAATGAAGTAAGCTCTCCCGTCATTTCTGTCCAGGCCTCGAGCATATTTTCGAATGCGTCAGTGAAAAATCGGTTATCATCAAAGTTCTAGAATAATATAAATTAGAATCATACAATTAGGTGTTTGGGGGCTCTTACAGCATCCTCGTGCGCAGCACCTTCACAAAAATGACACGTCAATCTTGCAAATTCATCCAGTAAAGTTTCCTGAATCGGATTTGGTAGTTTGTTGATGTCGCTAGCATGAAATGTTACTAGTTTTCTCACTATATTTGATACGCCTAGAGATTCTTTTTTTCTGATGGTAACACTGTAAAAAGAGTAATTTGCAGATATAATAATTATGATTTAATAATTATAAAGAATGCATTTATCTTGCAAACATCTCTGAGAGCGCTCAGAAAACTCCTAGTTTGGGTTAGTTGTTAATTGATGGCCATTTGCACCGACCATTTTAATGGAGCCTTAGCGATAAGTATTTCTTAATATGGCATTTTTACATGGAGAAACGTCACTTTAAGGAATACTTAACGCTAAGCTTCCTTAAAATGGTCGGTGCAAATGGCCATGAGTGACTTTATAATTAATTAACCTGTGAGGCTAAAACCATCTTAGTGTAATTTTTGGAATATTTTTAATGTTCGATAATTTCAATTTTGAAGCTTCTCAGCTACAAAACTGTTGAAACTAAATTGAAATCCTGCTTAACAGGTTTGTAGAAGATTTAATTAATTTTAATCAGAGAGTAATTTCGTTGAAATCGGATGAAAATTAAAGGAGCTGTCAGGCAAAAACTGTCGCAGTGTCATTTTTGGAAAATTTTCAATGTTCGATGAATTCAATTTTGACGCTTCTCAGCTGCAAAATTGTTAAAACTGAATTAATATCTTAAATAACAGGTTTGTAGAGAATTTATTTGGCTTTAATTAGAGCCTAATTGCGCTGAAATCATATAAGAATCAAAGGAGCTGTGAGGCAAAAACTGTCACAGTATTATTCCTGAAAAAAAATTCAAGTTGATAAATTCAATTTTGAAGCTTCTCAGCTGCGAAACTGTGGAAGCTAAATTGAAATCTTAAATAACGAATTTGTAGAGAATTTAATTGGCTTCAATAAGAGTCTGATTTCGTTGAAATCATGTGAAAATCAAAGGAGCTCTGAGGCAAAAACTGTCTCAGTGTCATTTCCGAAAAAGTTTCAGTTTGATAAATTCAATTTTGAAGCTTCTCAGCTGCAAAACTGTTGGAACTAAATTGAAATCTTAATTAACAGAATCTCGAGGCCATATTTTTGAGGCTTAGAGGCAAAACGTACTAAAAATTCAAATTAATTGAATGAAAAATTGCAAAGTACAATGTTTTTAAGAATAAACATTTTCTTGTATAAGACTACTTAAATATGACATGCCTCCACATTTTGACGATGTACTCAAAAACTACTTGATGTGGAAATATAAGATTTCAATAACAGGTTTATAGAGAATTTAATTGGCTTTATTCAGAGCCTAATTGCATTGAAATCGGATAAAAATCAAAGGAGCTGTGAGGCAAAAACTGTCTCAGTGTCATTTTTGGAAGAATTTCAATGTTCCATAAATTCAATTTTGAAGCTTCTCAGGTGCATAACTGTTGAAAGAAATATACAATTTTGTCTAAGTAAGTAAACAAAAAACCCTACAAACACCCACCAACCCTGTGTATGTCTTCCTATGTAAGTTTCAGAAAGAAACAACAAAACTAAAACTTACTTACCTTGAAACTAAATTCAAAAAATTAACTAAATAAGTATGCAAATACTTCATTTTGGCATCTTCCATATTCATAACGCTGCCATTCAAAGTGGCCAGTTGCACTAAGCAATTCAAAGAATGATGGGCCAATTCATCAATATCTCTAACCTGAAAATACAATTATTTCAAACATTTTTTATTTAAAATAATACCTCTTTTACCTTCCAAAATATTTGAAACATCAAAGGTAATAGATCTGGATTGAACATTATTTCTGCCCAGGTGGTATTGAGCCTCAAAGCTGGTGATAGATCGGATTCGAACACGGATTCAAAAATGCCAATTAATCTTTTTGGCAGTAAATATAGCATTAAGGAAAAAACAATTATTGAATTATTGCATATTTATTAAATAAAACAAAAAAAAAGGATATTAATTGGTGACACGTATCCCCAAGTTAAAACTCTTTCCGTGATTTGTAATAAATGCCTGGTAAGCTGCACCATAATGGGAGTATAAGATGAATCATTTTTAACTACTTCTGATAGCAAATAAACACAAAATTGAAAGACCCTTTTTAAATCCGTAGATTCAAATTGTTTTTTAGCTCTGAAATGGATTTCCCAAGGTAATCCTACATCAGTTGACTTAACTGTACTAGCATATTCTTGCATTAGATTTGTTATAATGTTGCAACCAAGAAGTTTCTATAAAATAATTACTATATTTATTAGTGTTTTTGATATTATTGTGCAGGTACCTTATCTGGTTCTGCATTCATTATTAAATTTTCAACTTCCTGCAAAATTGTACCCCTTTCTCTGCCTTGATCATCAATACTGGCACGTTTTATCATAATAGAAATAACTTGCAATATCCTATCTTGCACATAATGGGGTACTTGATGAGTGGTTATATATTGCATTAAATATTGCCTCAATGAAGCCCTAAAGTGAATCGTTAATTCTTAAAAAAATATATTGAATAATAATATTGTTACCGGTCACTTGCAACTAAAAACGACCATTCTCTAATGATAGCCTCCTTGAGGACTTCTGCAGCCTCAAACATAACATACTGATTCTGAGATTGTTCCAAAATCTGTCGGCATATTTCGTAGGGTCTTTTGCTCTTCCTGAAATTCAAAAAAATAGTTTCCGCCGAGTGTCTTTGTTCGTTGGACACGAGATTCGGTGGTGCCTAAAAATAAAGTCCATTGTTTATAATGTATTTTTAATTGTAATAAACTTGCCATTATTATTTGGGCCGCGGCCTCTAGTTCGCTTATAGCTTGTTGATGAGACATTTTTTGTTTGTCTACATTTGAATCTCTAATAACTAGAGGTATTTATTTGCCCCCTTATTCAAAAATTCCAAATCTAAAACACTTTTTATTTATATTTGTTTTTGAGGTTATGATGACGATGCACTAAGGTTGACATTTGTCATTTGTGAACCAGAATAGGTTTGCACTGGGGCGAGTTCAGGAATGACACACCCGTGACACCGGTGCGACGCCTTAGCTGTTCAAAAATGCTAGACGGTCCTATGGGCCCAATGGCTAATTGTCAATTCAGGCACACCCATAAAATCGCACTCGCACCCGGTGCGTTATTTCTGAACTCGGCCCTGGGTGAACACAATTAAAATACATATTAAAAATTAGGCAGTGGATAGAGGTCCGAAAATTCGGATCTTTAGTGTTCATACTAAAGATCCGATAATTTTCGGATTTTCAATTTGTATATTAGGGTTCCGAAAATGCGGATCTTTAGTGGTAATTGAAGATCCGAAAATAGATGTTTATTTCTAATTCTGTCTAATTAAGGAATATTATCGTCGCAAGTATCTACAAAGAATATAATATATAATATATAATATAAATAAATAGAGATAAGTCTGTTTCTGCAGAAATCACAAACCAGGCAGAGTGAATTTCATTGGTTGAAACTAATATTCTGACTGTTTTTGACTATTTTTAACCAATAAAATTTGCTCTGACTGGTTTGTGATTTCTACAGAAACAGACTTATCTGGAATATTATTCTTTGTTAATATTTGCAACGCCATTTTAATGGAACTAGCCCAAGAACCAAATACTACTCCACAAAATCAATTAGAAGAAAAAATAAAAAGTATTAAATTTCCTTTAAAACTTGCCCATAAAGGAAGACCCAAGGGACATCAATTAACTGCATTTGGACTAAAATGGTCTAAGAAAAATAAAAGTGTTTTATTCAAAAATGAAGTTCCTAAACTGAGGCACCAGACAGGGCCGTGCCCCCCTTCGCATCTTGAGGGGGCGGCAAAAAGGGAAGAGACCTTGAAAGACACTGCTTTACTTTTTTTCATAAAACATAGGTACATATCTAGCGAAGATTTTTTTCAAATTCATTATCTATTATTGTAACACATCTTCTGATAGAACAGCCGACCACCCCACAGTAACCTTACTCAAGGCAAAGTTTGCTCTGTATAATACCGTACTCGAGTTCTGAGCTCTACTCTTTACTGGTGGGTTGGGTGTTGCGTTCCACGTTCCAGGGCTAGGATCACGACAAGTAGAATAGGCTCCTTGCATCAAATTTTTTTATTGCTGAGTTCGATAGTCCAGGAAAAATAAGTCAACACGTGTTTTTTCTTTTTCTTGTTAGTCAAAAATTGACAGAGATACAACGCTTTGAAATGTCCTTCCGACGTCATAACTTATGTATAATACGTTGTGAGTTGTGACGTCGCACATGCTCAGTATATCTATATATATAAAACTCAATTTTTGTTATAACTTCCGAAATAATCATATTTGGGCAAAATAGAAAAACACGCATCGATTTTTTTTCGATTTCCTACAGTTTGCAATAAACAATATTGAATTTAATTTTTCATGCAAGTACCCTATTGTATACTAGAATTTGGCGTTTCGAATATGAGGTAATTTTTCGCGAAAATAATCAAGCCTATAAGCCTAATCTGATTATGGTGGGTTATGTGATGTGTCAATTGTCATTGTGTCATACTCCCTTAACTCTCTCACCATCAAATTCTAGGCCTGCAAGTGACGTCACTATCAGCAGCTTATAGTGATGACGTCAGCCGCAGACATCTATGAAATGCTTGCGATTCAGGCTCTGCTAGTGACTTAATTTTAGTTAGGAAAATATGACACTTGGACGTATGACACAATTGACCTATCACATAATCCAGTAAAAGCACTGATCTCAAAAATAAATGGATAAACAATCGTACGGCTTGATTGGCTAAACTTGCGCGAAAATTTGGAGTCAATATTCTACGAACAGTTGTGCAACGGAACAGGGCCGGATCTACGATTTTTTCGAGGGGGGGCAAAGATGTAAATTGCCGCCCCCTGTTAAATATTATTTTTTATGTATTTATTCAAAAATCAGGTGTGAAGATTTTACAATCTATTTATGTAGTAGTGGCGGCTCGTGGTCTATACTATACTTACTGGAAGGGGTTCACACATCAAGTAGAATCTAGTAGTTGAAGCCCACCGCAGGTGCTTTGGAGTTTTTTTTTCAGTTGCCACGCCCAAAAATGAATTTTTAGCCTCCAAAAATAGTTATTTACACATTACAAGTGCGTTCATGAACATGAATACAATAACGAGTATGAAAGATTAGAACAACGAGGTCCTAGACCGAGTCGTTCTATTCACACGAGTTTTGTACTCATGTTTAAACGCATGTGATGTACGTTTTATCTACAGTGCGAAAAATGGGAAAATGTTTTTTTCAATTTGTCAAAACACAAAAACTAGTTGCGTTATAGATTCATAACCTAGTCGATAACAGCAGTTGTGTTATGAATTCATAACCTAGTCCATAACACCACTAGTTGTGTTAGAGTAAAAATCAAACGAGAAAAAGCCACTGTCATCGGCGCTGACAAAGAAAGCAGATTTCCTTTTCTCTGCGTCCCTACCATTTAAAGTGAGACAAACGATATCCCGTGTGGCTTCTTCTCGTTTGATTTTTACTCTATGAGTCTCATGACATAACTCAAATACTAGAAAAATGGTTATGTAAAAACGTCATAACCAAACGTTTGTGAATAATGGTTATTTATATTACTAGTACGGTATAAGCTTCATTACAGTAACGAGTGGGGAATATTGCCAAGACGATGTCGTAGACCGAGTCGTGGTAATCACACGAGTAGTGTAATGGGCGTTACGGTACGTGTGATATACAGCAGTTTGTGTACGACCTAGATTTTTCTATGTATTCGAAATGGTTTCAATTTTTCACAACAAATTATACCTATGTATAATTTTTTCGAATAAATGAGTTTCAGAAGTAACGTTTTTCAATAAAAATTAATTACGTAATGAGCTCATTACATCACTAGTGATTTATATTACATCACTAATGGCCATTTGCACGGCTATCACTTAAGGGATATTTAATCTAAGTGGAGATTTGAATGTGACTTTTGTTTCTACAAGTCACATTCAAAGCTCTACTTAAATTAGGTATCCCTTAAGTTATAGCGGTGGCGTTATAGCGGTGCAAATGGCCGTAAGTACGATACCTAATACAATTTATTACGTAAGTCAAACAGGCTAAAATAAAGTAACGTAATAAGCTCTTACAGTGTGGAGTGTGGGCCGTACATAATAGTTATTTATATCACTAGTACGGTATGGGTATCAGCGTTACCGTACGTATAATATACAACATTTTATGTACGACCCAGATTTTTTTTCATGTATTCGAAATGGTTTTTATTTTCCACAATAGATTATATTTATAATTTTTGATAAATGAATTTTGAAAAGTGCAGTCGAAGGTTGTACTGTTTTACAACAGAAGGCGATTGATTCTTGATTCATTTGAGGCGTGATATGTTTGAATTTATTTGTATGTATTTGTCTGCGTGCACATATATATTTATGTTTTATAAAAAAAAGTAAGACAGTGTCCTCTCTTTTTGCCGCCCCCTTAGTTGCAAAGGGGGGCACGCACCCCTGTTCGCCCCCCCCCCCCCCCTAGATCCGGCCCTGCAACGGAACAGCCTAACGCCTGCGTGGTGTGTTATTTTTCGAACAATTAAATGTTCTAAATTTTGGAATATCCTTCATTTCCATTGACAATATTTTGCGCACGCACAGTACAATGTATCTACTGCGCACGCTCACAGCTCTCCCAGTTGTTTACATTAGGACATCGTAAATTAGCAGCATTAGTAGCGTTTTTTGTTTATGTATGGTATGATGGTTTCGAACACACGCGCACTTTTTTATTTTGTGACTTGACGTGTGTATCGGGGGTTATTCGGTTATTCAGCCGATCACGGTAATCGGTAGTCGATTTATAACTAAATACCTATGTAAAAATTTAGTTATTTCTATCATTCAAACAAGTGATATTTACCCCCAATTAACAGAGTATTGAAATTTCAAAGTTTGACGCTTAGTTAGTACACAATGTCGCCAATCTAGTACAATTATTCTCTACTTTCTGGTACAAATTTTTTAGTGCTGATAGCATCCCTGGTTGTTGGTTGTACAACAGTACAACATTGAATCCGGCTCCGACCACAGCTATGTATTGTACGCTACCAGCCCCACATAAAAAGACTTGTCAAATATTGAGCGATTAAAGAAATTAAGTTCTTTTAATCAATCTTTGATATCCTAATAAATTTTTTTTGGAGGCTTCAAATACGTTTTTGGGCGTGGCACCCGAAAATAATTTCTGCCTTTGGAGGCACCTGCGGTGCGCTATAACTCTGGATCCCACGCGCTGGACTTCAACTACTGGATCAATTTAGGTGTGAACCCCTTCCAGTATAGACCACGAGCCGCTACTGCTACATGTATATAAATTGTGAAATTCAACACCTCATTTTTGATATATACATAAAAAATAATATTTAGCAGGGGCGGCAATTCACATCTTTGCCATCCCTCGAAAAATTCGTAGATCCGGCCCTGGCACCAGATAATGCTTAATGCAATTTTAAATACAGAAGATTTGGAAAGAAATATATTCCTCATCATCAAAAAATTGATCCACTTCTTCTTGAAGAAGAAATAAATATCTTTAGCAGAAATAGAAGCATATGTTTGTCAGGATTCTTATGTTTTATTACAAAAACGAATTGAAAAAAAAAACAAATAGTATTTTAAAATGGATTTGTGATATATGTAACAAAGTGATACATGAAGATTGCTTACGACGGTGTGATTCATGTCTTCGGTGTGCTGTTCAGTAACAAAGCTTCCTTCTAGTGAGAAAGCCTGGTTTTGCATGCAGTGCTGAAGGAACTTAATCACACCTCTCACCCTATCAACCCTTAAAATAAACAAATATTTATTTTTATTTATGTAATGTTTTGAAAGAAAAAAGGTAGGTACTTATTGTCTGGCTAGCGAAACGGCGAACTCCAATAGAATTTGCTGCATTGCCAAACTTGACGGAAATAATAATAATTAAGTTGGTGACATATCAGCGTTGCCACAGGCTTTGAAAATTTCGTGCCAGACTATGAATTTGAAACGGGCCAGATTTCAGATTTTCGGGCAAACCCTCCACAAATGAAAAAGAAGAGAGAAAAAAAAAAGAAAGCCCCCCGCAGGCGCCGCCGGAAGTAGAAATTTTTTTCGGGTGCCACGCCCAAAAACGCATATTTTGCATAAAAAAAATATTGATTTGGCTTGTTATGGAGAAACGGGCCAGATTCGGAAAAGAGTGGTCAACGGGCTACTCCGTCTTACAAAGGGCCAGATCTGGCCATATGGGGCCACCTGTGGCAACACTGTGACATATTTTTGTTGCTATATAGGCCTGTATAATATTTTGAAATAGAAAAAAATCCGGCAACATTGCGAAAGGATGGATGTGGAGAGGCGTGATTATTCAGAGGCATGATTCTATTGGTTAGAGCCTGAATGACAGCACGCAGTGGCGTGGTTATCGACGAAACTACAGTAATATTTTTATTGGTTTATTTCCTTGGTGTTTTCGGTGGCACTGAACTCAAAGACATGTCTGTCATCAGGCGGTGTCAGTTAAGGTGTTGGTGAATATCTTTAGGTTACGCTCCACTTTTCTTCCCCCTTAATTTCGTCTCTACCAAGTTACCACTTGCCAGACTATAGTTTTGTTTTTTGTACTTTTTTGTTTGAAATTTCACCAACCAATAGTATATTGTGTATTTAGGTGGAAAAGTGACACATTTCGGCCGACGGTGTAAGTTGACGGGCGAGGCGTAGCCGAGGCCGGCAAACACCGAAGGCCGAGAATATGCTTTTCCACCGAAATACACATACTATTTTTTCTGAGATCGGTTAAATAACTGTTAAACGTTTGTATTTTTGTTCCAATTGTTCAGCAGTACGAGAATCACTTTCCCGGCCTAGGCCGGAAAAGTGATTCTCGTATTGTTATTCATTGATTCCTTAGCAACTATTGAAACATAATTAAAATACCAGAATATTGGGTTTTGCGACCTGTCAACCGGTCAAAAATGCTGACATTTCTTGTCAATCTCAGAAAAATATTTTTGAGTAAACTTGATTAGCTATTCTGCATAAAAAAGATTAGAGGATCCATTTTTTCTAGTATCAATCCTAAAAAATATAAGCAAATTTTATAATATTCCTTAATTACGACAGAATTAGAAATAAACATCTATTTTCGGATCTTATTACCACTAAAGATCCGCATTTTCGGACCCCTAATATACAAATTGAAAATCCGAAAATTATCGGATCTTTAGTATGAACCAACACTAGAGATCCGAATTTTCGGACCTCTATCCACTGCCTAAAAATTATTGTTTAAAAAATAAAGAATATTTATATTTAAATAGAGGCTCTGTTTAGTTATTAAATTGAGGCTCACATAGATTCTTTTTTAGCTCAATATAAGTTGAATTATTAAATCTTCGTACACTCAGAACAAGTAGAGCAGAACAAAAACAGATTGCGGCTAACTTCACATCATTTGTCATTATTGTCATTTAGCTATTGTTTTGTTTTTGTTTGTTGTTGTAGTGGTTGCCCAGTGGTTGCCATTCAATATTTCTGTTTAATTTCCAGTTCCGAATGATGCGAGAATTATTGTATTAAAAAGAATGGGCCGAACCAAAAATACTCCCTCGAAAAGGGGAAATACGTTATTTAGTGCTTTGAGCACAATCGGTGAATTTGTTCCGCTTCACAGGCCAAAAAAATATATCAAGAAGAAGTCAAGGACCACAGTACCCTCTTACAAAGTAATTTTGGTTCAAGAACAGCACGAACAGTACTATTTGGGTGATGTTCGAGTGGGTAGTACTAGTAACGTGTTTCCAGAGAATGTAAATTCATGTACAACAAGTTTTACAAGTAATGAAGATCGAGATGCGATTCTATTGAATTTGAATGGTGACTGTGACTTGGTGGTGCAAGCATTGGAAAATATTGATTTTTTAAAGGGTAAGTTTTTAGTTGATGATTGGCTTTCGAAGGGAAAGTAGGTATTAGTTACATAGTTGAGTATAAGGTGAGTACCTAATTTGATTTGTACAGGGTGCAAGAGTACTTGCACAAAGTTTTTATTCAAGAATCATCATCATATTTCCGTGGGAAAGAGTATTTTAAAAGGCCTTTGCCAAATTACTATGAATAAATATTTTCTAAGGAATTCAAAAATCATCAACATTTCAAATTTTCAGAAACGATTTTGATTGGTTTACTTCACAACTGAGAGCTAAAGGTTGCCAAATCAATTTCCATAATTTGTATTAATGACATATAAGAGATCTGTTTCCACAGAAATCACAAACCAGTCAGAGCGTTTTTGATTGGCCCAAATCACCAACAACCAGTTTCCTGACTATTTTTAACCAATGAAAAATTCACTTTGACTGGCTTGTGACTTCTGTGGAAACAAACCTAATGTGTCTTCTAACAGAAATCACAAACCACTAACTAGTCATTGGTTGAAAATAGTCTCAAAATAGGTTATTGGCCACCACATTTGCACCAATCAAAAACGATCTGACTGGTTTGTGATTTCTGTGGGAACAAACCTATATCACTGAATACTGTAAACAGTTGTGTCACCAACATCTAGAAGAGCAGTCCCCCTCTGGTGTATCCCCTCCAATTAGGTTGATACATTTTTACGGATTGATATTTGATCCTGTTTTGAGTTTGCTTCAAAAATTTGCAGATTCAAGACTAAAAATGACTATTGGCAACATCAATTTTGTGAAACAGGCAAATCGATTTTGGTCAAGTGATTGATAGGTTAAGAGGAGTGGAAGGGCGGGTTTGATTAAACCTCTGATGCATCCCCACCATCACCCCCTCGAGCAGCTCACTTCTCCTGGCCTTTGGCCTATGGGGGGGTCTTGTCCATCACAATCACAACAAAAACAGTTTGATAAATGAGAAGCGGTGTCTATCTGTATTAAGATATCATTTATTTGTACCAAATAAATACATAGCAGCGTTGTCAGATTATCATTTTATTCCTAGGTAGAGAATGAAATAATGAATAAATAAACATCAAACAGCAGGACACAAAAAGTGGAGTATGTTACTTTTGTACAATTTATGTGATTGCGCCAAAATTTACCTCTGTAATACATATACAAACATTTGACAACACCGCAATTTACTATGTAATGACGTCACAACATGATAAAAAAAAATTGTAGCTTCAGTTTCATTTACTGCTTTAGCTATAGCAGCAGCCCCTCCACGAAGAGCTCCGACAGAAGATATTGCAGCAAACAATGGGATAAGGGGTAAAAAACTAAAGGGAGGGGTCAACCGCTGTGCTTACAAATGTACAATGATTTCCATATTTGGCAATCACTGATCAATGAATTTCATGTATTTCCATCCCAAGACCTGCGACTGATTGCTAATGATTTTCAGATATTTTTGTACTTATGATTACCAGGTGATTTCCATTTTTTCTGGGGATTCCTATATCATTCCCAATTGATTACCTGATTTCCTCGATGATTTCCTACAATAATCAGATTTCCAGCTGATTATATTATAAGAAGATGTCTAATTGTTAAGCTCTGCATTGATGTGACCAAAATAAACAGTATTTTCTCTTATAAAAATATGTTTCCACTGAAAAATTGGCAACTTCTGTATTTCCAACTCTTCCAAAAGTTAGCAACTTTTATTTTCATGATTGTCCACACCCACAAAGATTTTGTTGTAGGTATAAATAGTTGTTGAGCCCTAAATACCATTGCGTGTCTACACTACATAATATGGATCTGTAATAATGGATATTTCTTTGATTTTACTAGGATCTTCATCTGAATCAGAGACATCTTCAGTTAGGGTTTCACTTGACAAACTTATTTCTGATTCTGATTCCGATGTGTTATCATCTCTGCTTCTCGCCCTGGCCAGTATCTATTCTACTTTACCTTTTCAAGTTCTTGTTGCCTTGGATTCCTGACTTTTTCTTTTGTGTCTTTCTCAGGGACATTCCCATAGCTCTTGATACTTGATCGACAAACGTCCCTGCTTCTTTGAAAAGAACCAAATTAAAGTTGAGCCCTGAATAATCTCTTAATTACAGAAGCAATTGCTAAACCCTGATGTGTGAAGAAATTCTGTGTCTTCTTTTGGCAAGTCGGTTTCGAGAGAGGTTTCAAATTCATGTTTTAATTTTTATGATCTACAACATTGTCATACTTTAGGTCTGTTCTCACAGAAATCGCAAACCAGTCAGAGCGAATTTCATTGGTTAAAAATAGTTAAAAAACTGGTTGTTGGCGATTTGCACCAATCAAAAACGCTTTGACTGGTTTATGATTTCTGTATGAACAGACCTAATCTTCATCTAAAATCTGTTTTTTTTTTAAAGATAATTCCCCAAGTCAAAAATTTAGTAACTATGTTGGCAATACAAGCCTTTTCTACATGAAAAATTTGAAAGCCTTGACAATTTTACATTGTATTGCCAACCTAATGTCAGTTTGACTTTTATCTTTAAAAAAAAACGCACTTTAGTTCTTTTTTTCTTTGAGTTCTAAACTCTTCGTAGTCTCTGGTTTTTTTAGGATAGTATTGGGAAACTCATATTGCGTAAAATTTAGTCTTAAAGGCAAATACACAACTGACCGGTACGCTGTATTGTTTCAAATGAAGTATGATATGCAATTTCTGGGTTAGAATGGGATGATATTCCCAGCGATTACCACATGATTCTCAGCGATTGCCAATAGTTTCCTATGTGATTCCCATGGAGTCCTAGGAGATTCCTAGCAATTCCCAGCTTATTCCCAGAGACTCCCAAGAGATTTCCATGTATTCCTGATTGATTACTATGTAATTCCCAATAAAATGTACAATGATTTCCACTAGTGGTTAACTCCTCGGGGTACCCTTAAAAAAATTAGAAAAAACGTTCAATAAAAATTGAGAAATAGAAAGAGAAAATTTAAAAGAGTTGGTTGACAACTAGAAATTTGAATATTTTCTCTATTCTAGGCTCTCGAGTTCTCTATTTTCAGAAAAAATCGAAGAAAATAGAAATTCTAGAGCCGGGAAAAAACACAAATTTAGACGGAAAAATAAAAGAAATCGTTTAATAAAAATTGAGAAGAAATTGGTTGACGATCAGAAATTTAAATATTTTCCCTATTCCAGGCGTTGAATTCTTCATCTCTAGAAAAGTTTGAAGAAAACAGAAAATCAAGAGCCCGGAATAAACACAAAATGAGAGAAAAACATTTAATAGAAATTGAGGAAAATTTTAGAAGAAATTCTCTATCCAGGCTTCTAATTCTTCTTATTTAAAACAATATGAAGAGCCGGGAATAGACAAAAATTGAAACGAGATAAAAGATTTTGCGAATTCTAAAGAGAAGATTTTGATCTAATTTGCCCTCTCACTGTCAACTTCAAAAATTCTTAAAACTCCAGGATTTGAATAATTTGTCAATGTAAACAACAAAAGATTTTGAATTGACTATGTGAAGACTCAGTAAATGCTACTTTATTTGAATTGTCAGGAAACTACAAAGCCAAAATAAAAGACTTATTTTCCAACATTTTAGAATGTTGATTCAAACCTGGAGAACTAAAGATTCTGAAGACATCAAAAATCTATTCAGGACCTTAATTTATTCAAAACAATCCCTTGAAATTTGGATATGAAATGATGTTGTGCTGGAGAAAAATAATTTCTTCTCATTTGAGTACTTTTTAGATCATTGGCAAATTTTAAAATTTTTAGGGACGATTGGAAACCCATATTCACTTGAAATTATCTACAATAAATCATCAAATTCTTGCCCAGCATGAGGTCCTAGTTCAGTGATGATTTTTGAAGGTTTACTAATGAAAATCCAAAGGAGATAACCCTTAGAGAACAGTGCAAAAAATTGAATTTTGGATTTTTCTCAATTTTGACTTTAGATATCGATAGAGAGGGTCCAAATTAGTCAGGAACAACCGAGGGAACAACTTTTATATCAGTTACTTTTAATAAATCGAATGGGAAAAAAAATCCAAAAGGAAATCTCATATTTTTTAAACCTTGACACGCTCATGAATAATTACCTATAACTCCGATTATTTTTGAGTAAATTAATATATACCTAATAACCATATATCATTGGAGAGAGCATTAAATTTTCTATAAGTCTGTGCAAGATTGGTTTTTGTAGATTCCGAAATTTCTGAGATATTGGGTGATATGAATAAAAACGAAGTACTTGCTACTGCTACAAGTATTAGTATATGCTTCGCAGTATTTACTAATTTCCGGTAGTTTCGAAATGTAGTATCTACTTCGTTTTGAAGTAAATACTACGTAGAACATACTAATACTTGTAGTAGTAGCAAGTACTTCGTTATTATTCATACCACCCATTGAGCCTCAAAGTTGAAATTTAGTCAATATTTTGTCCAAAACTTCAAACTCGATTTTTCCAAAAACTATAAATGCTAGCGATTTCAACCAAACACCATCTGAAAATTCTTTATCAAGAGCCACAAATTGTGTCCCAGTACCGCTTTTGGTTACCAAGATATCGAGGTTTGAAGATTTGCGAATAAAAATCCGAAGGGGGTAGCCTTAGAAAACAGTACAAAAAATTGAAAATTTCTATTTTCGAATTTTTCTCCATTTTTACTTCAGAAATGGATAGAACGGTTCCAAATTAGTCAGAAACAACTCTGACATCATTTTCATTTCGAAATTTCAATGAGAAAAAAAATCCAAAACGAAATATCATTTTTGGGTATGGACATTTTTTGAAATTTTGACACGCTCATGAATAATTGCTCATGTCATTGAGGATATTCGAGCAAATTGCCAATAATTATACATCATTATAAAGAGTAATAAATTCTCTATAAGCCTGTGCAAAATTGGTTTTTGTACCTTTTGGAATTTACAAGATATTAAAATTTGAAATTTCGATAATCACAATTGGAACTATTACTGGCTCTTGATTATCTAGAAAAATTACCCAACAACTCAAGAGCCGGTAATGATCAAAATTTGAACTCTTACTGGCTTATAATTGGCTCTAGAAAAATTATCCAACAAATCAAGAGCCGGTTATAATCACAATTTGAACTTTCAGAGTTCTTGATTTTCTTACAGACAATTCAAATTTCCAATAACTTTCTAACTTCGGATATATCAATCGCCTTTGTTAGCTAACAAATACCTTAGAATCTGTCAATGTTAATATGACAATAAAATTGTGAAGCTATATTCTAATGTCATTGTTTACTAACAAGAACATACCTAACAATGGATATAGCGGACCTAAAAGAATTTCAAGGCTGAAACTCCTTTGAGTAGTGATTTATTTAAGATGTTTTCGTAAAACTTTTTGCATTGGTACAGTATTTTTTGTAGAATAAGAATCCAATATAAAATTATTATTAGGTAAGCAATGGTAAGAGCGAGCCTACCAGCAAGTTTATCTGAATCTGAATCATACAAATTTGCTTTCAATTTTAAATCCAGTGAATCACAAAAGGATGAGCTCTTGAGCAAGCTCCATTAATGGGAATAAATTTTCATAAATTAAAATTATCAAAAGTTAATATTTAGATACCATTTTATATTATGTGAATTTTTTCTGATTCCACTGAATTTAAATTAGGATCCAAAGTAGGGCTCTGTTCAAATTTACTTTTCTTACTCCCACTCCAGCACTATATTTAGTGATGAAACAGCTAAGAGAACAGCTATCATTTAAATTCAATAGGTTTGGAAAGAGAAAATATATCATTTGGGCAACTTATCAGACACTTGTAAAAGCGGTAGGTATCAAGAAAGTTGCTCTTGGGATTTATGTTTTCAAAACTTTTAATCTTGGTATATTTATCACAGAATAGCCAAATTAAGATTTTCTGATTCAATAACTTTGAATTATGTTATAAAATCAGGTAGGTTAACCCATTTCTGGGTATATTAGTACTACTATAGCCGTAATAAGAGCACACATTTTTTGTCTTAAGTTAAGTATAAGTATATGGATTGAAGAAAAATTTCTTGTTTCAGATTTCATACAAACCAAAATGTTCTCCTTTAAAATCTATACCCAAGATGAAAATTGTGTGTATTTCAAAGTGTACCTGACCGTAATCCCACTGCCGAAATTTTATCCAAAGCTTGCAAAATGCATTCAAACTGCCTTTTCATTATTTTACAACGTCAACGCACCAGGTGAGCCAAAAACACTATTATAAAACTAGCATTTCAAGCAAACAATCTTTCAGATGCAATCGAAAAGTCCAAAACACAAGAAAGCCTTTCTTGCAGCGAACTAAAGGAAGTTTATGAAAAACTTCTAGACATGAGAGATGATTCTGAATACAGCCATGTAAAGAAAACACCAATTCCTTTTTTGAAGCCAGTTTTGAGGCCTTACCAAGAAAAATCACTTCAATGGATGATTTATAGAGAAACAAAATCCAACGATTTTAACTCCACAATCCACCCATTGTATCAAAACATCCAACTGAAATCTGGCTTGGAAATATACTACGATAAATATACAACATGGATCGAAAAAAACATCCCTTTAGTCCAAAGTCAATGGAAGGGAGGCATTTTAGCAGACGAAATGGGTCTTGGTAAAACAGTGGAAGTTTTAGCTTTGATTTTGAGTCACAGATATGACGAAAATTGTGACTCAACTGTCCCAAACGAAAATGAGGAACTAGTCATAATGAATCAGTCAAAAAAAAGAAAACTGAATATCAATGACCAAACATATGTTGAACCAAAAAAAATCAAAACCCATGCAAAAAAATCGTCAACATTTCAAGCATTGCAAACAATCTATAATCGCACCCTATCAGAATATTGCACCACAGAAGTCCGTTCCAAACCTAAAATAATTCAAGTACAATGTATTTGTGGCAACAATATTGAAAAAGACTGTGTCCAATGTGAAGACTGTGACAAACTCCAACACAGTCAATGTTTGGGCTATAAAGAAGAATTCGGTCCCTACAAGTGTCCACAATGCTGGGCAAAAGCTGACTTAATCAACTCAAAAGCAACTCTTATAGTAACTCCTGCAGCTTTAAGACGTCAATGGTGTAAAGAAATGAAAACACACCTAAAATCCGGCCTGAACGTGCTAAATTATCAAGGCAACAATGCCACACCTGTATATCCTACAGAATTTCAAAATTACGACATTATTATAACAACTTATAATGTTTTGCAAGCTGAAATGCGACTAACAGAAACTAGTCAGGAATTAAATATGCGTAATGCAAGGAAATATTGGCCAGGAGGTAGTCCATTGGTGCGTGTGAAATGGTGGCGTTTGTGTCTAGATGAGGCTCAAACTGTCGAGTCTCCAACAAGTATAATTTCTGCAATGGCAGGCAAAATTATAGCTTGTCATAGGTGGGCAGTTACTGGGACACCAATATCAAAAGGTGTATCCGATATATACGGATTGATTGACTATTTAAAAATGGAACCGTACAATGACCCAGCTACTTGGAGACACATTTTATATGATAATTATGTTAGAGGCGATACAAAGCCGATGTTTGAGTTTTTGTCAAAAGTCTTATGGAGGACCACAAAAGATTCTGTTTTGGATCAAATAAATATCCCTCAGCAGACTCAGGAATTGCATTTGGTTGAATTATCTGCTGTGGAAAAATTCTCTTATAAGCAGCAGCATAATAGATGTGCAAAGGATTTTTTGGCTATTAGTCGTAAATATCCTGCGGATTTGGCTTTGGAAAAAATGAACAAAAGTGACTTGAGAAATTTGATGGCACCTCTATTTTCTCTCAGGCAAGCGTGTTCTGATCCAAGTACTGCTAGAGGAAATGATCGCGATTTGCCTTTAAATAAAAATACTTCTTCGATGAAGGAACTTTTAGAGGCGATAATTTTGAGAAACAAAAATGACTGCGAAGAAAAGTTGAGATTAATGATATCCGCGATTAATGGTAAATGGTTTTGAATTTGTAATTTTTTTAAATTAAATATTGTATTTAAGGTGCTTCTGGAATTCAGTTGCTCATGGATGATCCTGACCAAGCAATTCGCGGCTATAGAAGAGTGCTTCAATTAGCAGCTGAATTTTCCAGTAATGAAAAAAACAATCAACTTACCGTTGATAAATTACCTCTCATACATGCTATGCATAATTTAGCAGAACTCTTGGATATGTATCAGTCTAATGATCACACTTTAAGAGACAGCACTTTGAGGCAAGATTGTATTGAATTGGAAAAACAATACATTGAGAAATTTATGATAGCATCCGCAGCTGGAAAAGAAGCTTGTCAAACAATATCGGACAACATAGAGGAACTTAAGGATGATTTCAATTTGGATTTTGGACAATGGTATTCTGACGGCTTCGATTGGATTGCCTTGAGCAATTTTGAAAATGATTTGATTAGTAGAATTGATAGTCAGGCTATTGCCTCTGCTATAGATTGCGATTTAAGGTATAAAATGATTTTTTTTGGATATTTATTTTTATGAAAATTCTGTTTATAGGAATGATAATTGTTTAACTTTACGTCGTACAGTCTACAATTGGCACGCAACAATATTTGAACTAAGAGATAAATTATTTAAGCTTATTGATTCAATGTATGAGCAGGACGAAGAAACGAAACAACTTTTAATTGTTGACGGTTTAGTGGAATCAGCCATGGATTGCCATTTGAGGCCTCAGCTGGTCAAAGGCAAAAAAATCAAAACCAAAAAATGTAAAGTTTGTTTGGCCAATAGGAGCCTTCAAAATTACGAAGAAAATTTGTTTACTGTAAAAAATCGAGGGGACAATATCGATGAAATGAGCCTTATTCGCTTTTCTAAGTTGAGAATCGAAGAGCTTATTCTCAAAGGTATTTGTTTGTTGTATTTGAATATTATTATTTAAACGTTAATGTGTTGTAGCTCTTTTGGGTTTAATGAAATCGAGAGATGCCAATCCTGAATTGATTAAAGATGGCGAAACGCAAATGCAGTTGTTTGATGTCTTGAAAAAGGAGTTTAAGGTAAGTTGGTAAAAATTGGGAGAAAATACGCTATTTTAATGGCTTATGAAATTTTCTCTGGTGTTAAAGGAAGCAGGTTCTCTTCTGAATCAACCATTTCGAATTGTATCTATAATTTTTTCTACTAAGTACTGTGCGTAAAGTACTCACATTACGCACTATTCAGAAGACGTAAAATTTCATTCACGCACTAGTGTGAAAAATAATTCACTTCACACACTAGTGCGTAAAGTAATGTCTAATGTCAATGACAGATGTCGACACTGTCAATTTCGTATTTTCCTGGTAAATTATTTTACGCACTAGATATACCTAACATGAAACTGGTATCAAGTTGGGAAAAACATCAAAATCGCCCACAATTTTTTCCTAATTCCCCACAAATTCCTCTAAATTCCCCACAGATTTGGCAAAGAATTCCTAGGTAGTTTGCCCCTTCCTCTATCTTGTAATGTTTGATAATTTTCCAATAGAAATTACTTTTTCATTCATCGAAAATGGTTCTCCCCAAACATTATTCTTCCCAAGAAAGGCCAGATTTGTTTTAGGCATCTTTAACTGTTCATATTTCTCCTTGAAAAAACAAAATTATAAATAAAAGTTCCATTAGTGGATGATTATTTTCTGTTTTGTAGGAAATCAGAAAAGTCTGGACCCTATTAGATCAACAAGTCTGTGCCCAAGATGAATTGGACATATGCAAAGTTCGTTTTCAATTGAAAACCGCAGAAGATTCCAAAACTAAAGCCAACAGAGATTTGCAAAATTTAACCAACGAAACTCACAAAGATAATTTGAATTTGATTCCATTCAGACAAGTATGTGTAGTGATTTAAGTTGGAATCTCAGCTAATTTGTTTTTTTTTTTAGTTGCCCTACCAAGAATTGGGCTTAAAAACTGATGAACAGCGTTACAATGCTGAATTGCAAGTACTTTTAGGAACCAGGAATTATTTGAGTAAATTAGAAAAAAACTGTTTGACTAATTTGATTTTAAAATACCTATATTTATTTTAGACACTTTAAACCAACAACAATTTGAAGGTTGTGCTACTGACCCGTGTCCAATTTGCAGATGCTCATTGGAGGATACTTGGGTTATTTTACTATGTGCTCATACATACTGTTTGAAATGTTTTGAGACATTAGTTAATAAAAATGTCAGTATAAATAATTATTAAAATTATTTTTGTACTGTTTTTGTTATTGCAGATGTGTCCTCCTTATCATATATATTGTTGTGTGTGCAGATTAAAGCAAAGTATACAAGAAGTAGGTTACATTAAAGGCACTAATGTGAAGGATGAAAATAATAAGGAACCACAAACAAAAGTTTTAGGGGATTTTTCTAAAAAAATTCAAGCTGCCATACAGCTTGTGTTGAATTTGAAGAATAAAGATCCTTATGTCAAGGTAGGTACCTACTTTTATTGATCTTTTTCATAGTCTTAAGTCCAAGAACTGTTCATGTGAATGGGCTTCTAACCTTCCTCTTTCTATACTGAAAGTTTCAAAATGTTCTCCTTAACAGTTCTTTGGAAAAATACAAGAGTACAAAAGGATGTTTCTGTTTATATTAATATTATTGGTCATTTTCATACTCTAAGCCTAAGGACTTTTTATGTGGTTGTTGGATTCATTTGAAATTTTAGTATAATGGGCTTCCGACCTTCCTTTTTCTATACTGAAACTTTCAAAATGTTCTCCTCAACAGTTCTTTGGAAACATATAAGAGTGCAAAAGGATATATTACTTTTATGGGTCATTTTCATAGACTAAGCCCAAGAACTGTCCATGTGGTTGTTGGATTCATTTGATATTCTAGTATAATGAGGTTCTAACCTTCTTCTTTCTATACTGAGAGTTTGAAAATGTTCTCCTCAACAGTTCTTGGGAAAAATATAAGAGTGCAACAGGATGTTCCTATTTATATTAATATTATTGGTCATTTTCATAGTCTCAGCCCAAGGACTTTTTATGTGGTTGTTGGATCCATTTGAAATTTTAGTATAATGGGCTTCCAACCTTCCTTTTTCTATACTGGAAGTTTCAAAATGTTTTCCTCAACAGTTCTTTGGAAACATATAAGAGTGCAAGAGGATGTTCCTATTTATATTACTTTTATGGGTCATTTTCATAGCCTAAGCCCAAGAACTGTCCATGTGGTTGTTGGATTCATTTGATATTCTAGTATAATGAGGTTCTAACCTTCTTCTTTCTATACTGAGAGTTTGAAAATGTTCTCCTCAACAGTTCTTGGGAAAAATATAAGAGTGCAACAGGATGTTCCTATTTATATCAATATTATTGGTAATTTTCATAGTCTCAGCCCAAGGACTTTTTATGTGGTTATTGGATTCATTTGAAATTTTAGTATAATGGGCTTCCAACCTTCCTTTTTCTATACTGAAACTTTCAAAGTGTTCTCCTCAACAGTTCTTTGGAAACATATAAGAGTGCAAAAGGATATATTACTTTTATGGGTCATTTTCATAGCCTAAGCCCAAGAACTGTCCATGTAGTTGTTGGATTCATTTGATATTCTAGTATAATGAGGTTCTAACCTTCCTCTTTCTATACTGAGAGTTTGAAAATGTTCTCCTCAACAGTTCTTGGGAAAAATATAAGAGTGCAACAGGATGTTCCTATTTATATTAATATTATTGGTCATTTTCATAGTCTCAGCCCAAGGACTTTTTATGTGGTTGTTGGATCCATTTGAAATTTTAGTATAATGGGCTTCCAACCTTCCTTTTTCTATACTGAAACTTTCAAAGTGTTCTCCTCAACAGTTCTTTGGAAACATATAAGAGTGCAAAAGGATATATTACTTTTATGGGTCATTTTCATAGCCTAAGCCCAAGAACTGTCCATGTAGTTGTTGGATTCATTTGATATTCTAGTATAATGAGGTTCTAACCTTCCTCTTTCTATACTGAGAGTTTGAAAATGTTCTCCTCAACAGTTCTTGGGAAAAATATAAGAGTGCAACAGGATGTTCCTATTTATATTAATATTATTGGTCATTTTCATAGTCTCAGCCCAAGGACTTTTTATGTGGTTGTTGGATCCATTTGAAATTTTAGTATAATGGGCTTCCAACCTTCCTTCTTCTATACTGAAAGTTTCAAAATGTTCTCCTCAACAGTTCTTGAGAAACATAAAAGAGTGCAAGAGGATGTTCCTATTTATATTACTTTTATGGGTCATTTTCATAGTCTAAGCCCAAGAACTGTTCTTATGGTTGTTGGATTCATTTGAAATTCTAGTATAATAAGCTACTAACCTTCCTCATTCTGTACTGAAAATTTCAAAATATTCTCTTCAACAGTTCTTTGGAAAAATATAGGAATGTTCCTACTTATATTGCCTACTTACTTTAATGATAGTAAATATAATTCAATAATTATTTTTTTATAGGTATTACTCTTCTCCACATGGACTCCAGTATTAAGATTACTAAAAAGAGCCTTAACAATGAACGATATAAAATCAGGCATCGCTGAAGCTACAAGCACCTCTGAAAAAACCATAGAAGCATTCAAAGACCCCGTTGAAAAAATCACAGTACTTCTCTTGCCCATAAAACTAGGTTCCAGAGGTTTGAATCTTATCGAAGCCACTCACGTGATCCTTCTAGAGCCTCTCCTCAATCCTGCCGACGAATTGCAGGCAGTCGGAAGAGTGCACCGAATTGGACAGACCAAACCGACAGTAGTTCACAAGTTTCTAGTGAAAGATACTGTGGAAGAGGCTTTACATAATGCTACCAGTTCTAACGCTTCAGAATGGGAAAAGGGTAAAATTAATGTAGGATTGTTGAAGGGTCTTTTTGAAAATAATAATGTCGAATTGGTAGGTTAAGTTTGTGTTTTATTATAAATTTAAGATGTTCATTTAGATGTAAGTATTTTTTCAATTATGGTAGGATTTGATATTAGGATCACATATTTAATATTAATAAATATGATGTGGCCAATAAGTGATGTTTCAGTGTTTGTATTAAATAAAAGAGTAATAAATTATTAATGAAGTACACATATGGGTAACCTCCATAATGAATGAAAGTCTAACCTTACTTTTGTGTGAAAACAAAGAATGTTTTTTCCTTTAAATTTAAGCTTAGTTTTAACGATAATAGTTGGCTTGGTGTGTATAATAGGTGATTATTTAACAGCATTATACAATGCACCCCTAGCAAAGGCCTTATGTGATAATGTCACTCATGCAGTGATTGGAGGGCTTTGCTGGACTATAACTTATTTAAATCGTGATAGATCTTTCAAGGAGCCTCGCAGGATACTTTTAGAGATATTTTTCTGCTCTATTATAGCCTCATTCATTGATTTGGATCATTTCATTGCAGCCAAATCAGTATTATTAAAGGTAAAGATTTTACTTATTTTATCAATTATAATTATACTATTTGTTTTAGGATGCCACTAAATTAAAACACAGGCCATTACTCCACTGTTCTACCATTCCTTTAGTATTATTTGCAATTCTACTCGTGCTGAGTTATGCTTTGCAGCATGTCCAATTGAAAAGAGGGGCTTTAATAATGCTGACAGCATTTGCAACGCATCATGTAAGGGATGCTTGGCGAAGGGGATTGTGGTTTTATTTATATGGAAGCACTGCACCTTTGCCATACACCTTTTATGTTAGTTTTACTTGTTTGTTGCCGTATTTAATTGCGTTAGTTGATAGGAAGTTTATTGTTGGTAGTGTCGGAGAAGTGAAGGGATATACACATGTGATATAATTATTTTAGTATTATATAGGCAATTTGATGGTACTAAACAATGTTTAATCCTAAAAAAAACTTGTTGAGAGAAGATTTACAAGTTTAATTTTTTTCTGGCTACAATACAACTCTTGTAAAAAGATGAAACTATTCTTAACAATTTGATGAAATGTTGCTGACAGGATTTTTCTAGACACAAGATTTTCTGACAACAAGATTGGCTCAAATTGGATTGTTGACACCATAGACAAGGTCTAGACTGAATTTCTTACAAAAACTCTCTCGAAAGAATTTTCTATATACAAGTTGGAAGTTTGAGTCAAAGACTTCTAGACTTCAAACCTACAAAAGATTCTTAATAAGAAAAAAATTGTCATATAGTCCTTTTCCAGAAACGAAAATTACAAGACTGTTGATACAACTCTAATCAAAGAAAAGTAATACAGACCAGATTAAAAATGGAATGTATTCACAAACTCACAGGAGTTTTCTGGAGACAAGATTACAAGTTTGAAAAATGACTAAGCAAAATAATCCAAGCAAGTTTCTAAACACAAAGAATATGAGCTTAAAGTTTAACTCAAACTAGAGACTAGAAATTCTAGTATAATAATCTCCCTACAAAAACTTTCTCACAAGAATTCTCCAGACACAAAGGTTGATCTTGTGTAGAAGACATGAAATATGGAAGTTTTCCTACTCTCTATTCAAAGTAAAACAAACCAATGATTTTTATAGAACCATCATTTATTAATCCATAAAAGCAAAAACAAAATATCACAGGTTGTCTATTACAAATAGGTTTAAAAACAAAATAATATGCACCAACAAAACAAACAAGTATTTTTCTTTTCGATAAAAGTTTAACGTCAACATTTGAAAATTTTGAATATCGAAAAATATGTAGTTTCAAAATGAATTTTACTATAGAGGAACTTCTAAATCTACATATTTTGACTATACAATTAAATAAATAATAACCATAAAAATGGATCAATAATAATAATAATAATAATAATAATAATAAACCCAACAAGAAAAAGCTAATATGGTTCTTTTCAATTACATAACTTCGTTTCAGGTATCTAACTACAAAAATATACAAAATATACATACTATTGGGAATAAATAACCCTTAATCAGGTGTAACTTAGGATAAATTTATTGGATACATTTTACTATGTATTTAACATTCTCTCTCTCATGACCCTTCCTTAAATTAATCTATTCAGTCCAGTTAAAAAAATCCACTTTCATTTACTTACAACCTACTTTCTGCCAATCATTTTTGTCTTTTTATCACAAAACAAAAATGGATTAAATAAAATTGATTTTTGCTCAGCAACTTTAAGTACCTACTATGAAATACATATAATAAAGCAGTGACAGAAACAGTGTATATGATACACAACTTAAAATAATTTTTGGAAACCAGCCAAAAAAATATAACAAAATGTTTTTTGTACCTACTTAATTATAACAATAATAATTACTGTCTGATTTACATTTACTCACTAATGTTAAGCAAGATTTAGGCCTAAAAATTTAACAAGTTTTTTGAGTTTTGGGAACCGTAATTTTGGAGCAAAATTTTCAATCTAATGTATTATCAAGGACAGCAATATATTTTTATTTGTTGAGCTTATTTTTAGTTATTCTAAGGTGGTGCACACTTAAATCTAAGCTTAAAAGGCAATTTGTTTCAATTACAAAAAAAAAAATTGACTTTTAACTTAATGGCATTGCTTTTTTTTTGGCTTTTTCTATATATTAACATGTGTCAGATTATAAAATATTATTTATAAGTGCACAACTTTTGAGTCATTACCCTAATCGCTCCAGAATGGAAATTCTAATAATTTAAGCAACTATGGAACAATATGCTTGAGAATGAATACTGTAACTGTAATTGTGTTGAAATACTGTCATAGAAATTCGGCATCTATGTTTTCTTTTTTCAACAAAATCGGAATAATTATTAGACTAGGAATAAATTGCTAACTGTGACTACTTGCAGGTGAAGGGACTTTTTCATTTTTAACATCTGGATTCTCCTGAGATGGACTTTCTTGATTTTGGCTTGTTAGTAATGTTGATAGGGCTTCAAGGGATTGCCTTACCTAAAAACAATCAATACAAAGTGAATGTTTGAGAAATGGTGTCATGAAATTAAATTTTAATTCCAAAATCTTTAAACCGCAATTGCTCGGTAACCATTGAGCAAATTGCATTGAAATTTTCAGCATTTGTAGCTCTTATTAGGCTCTAAATGGCCTATAACTTAAAATATTCCTAGGTTTATAGTTTTTGAACAAATTGAATTTGAAGTTGTTGACAAAATTTAGACTAAAAGTCAACTTTGAGGCTCAATTACTCAAAAACTTTCTCAATTTTGCACAGATTTATAGAGAATTTAATGCTTTCTTATAATATATAATTTATTTCAATTTGCTCAAAATTCAACAAAGAAATGGGCAACGTGCTCATGTCCATGACAAGATTTTGAAAATTTTTAAGAGCCAAAAATAGGATTTTCCTTTTTAATTTTGTTTCTGCTAAAAAGGGACATTTGGATATGATGTTAGGATTTTTTTCCACTAATTTTGGATCCACTCTATCGATTGGTGAAGTCAAAATTGAGCAAAACTGAGAATTAAAAAAAATAAATGGATTGTTGCGGAACTTATGGGTGGACCTCTGCGGGACGAGCGCAGCGAGTTCCGCAGCCATCTACTCACCAATATACTGTTGAACTGTTCAAATAATGGCCATTTGCACGGGTATCACTTAAGGGATATTCAATCTAAGTAGAGCTTTGAATGTGACTTTTATTTCTACAAGAGTCACATTCAAAGCTTCACTTGGATTAAATAGCCCTTAAGTTATAGCGGTGCAAATGGCCGTAAGACACTCACCTGAAACGTGTACTTTTTAAATTAATGAAAATAACTCACATTTGAGTGAGTCAGATTAGTATCGTAATTAAACAACATATTGATGAATAGATGGCTGCGGAACTCGCTGCGCTCGTCCCGCAGAGGTCCACCCATAAGTTCCGCAACAATTCACTCATTTTTACTTGAATAACTTGTCACATTATGTTACTAGTTTGGTAAAGTAACATTACTAATTCCTGTTGAAAGGCAAATTGACAAAAAGTGAATAATCTTACAAATTTTGACTTTATATAATAAGTTATTATTCAAATACAAATAAGTGGATTCTTGCGGAACTTATGGGTGGACCTCTGTGAGACGAGCGCAACGAGTTCCGCAGCCATCTACTCACCAATATACTATTGAATTATTCAAATAAGACACTCACCTGAAACGTATAGTTTTTGAACTAATGAGAATAACTGACATTTGAGTGAGTCAGGTTAGTATCGTAATTAAAAAACATATTGATGAATAGATGACTGACAGAGGTCCACCCATAAGTTCCACAACAATCCACTCGTCTGTACTTGAATAACTTGTCACATTATGTTACTAGTTTGGTAAAGTAACATTACTAATTCCTGTTGAAAGGCAAATTGACAAAAAGTTGATAATCTTACAAATTCTGACTTTATATAATAAGTTATTGTTCAAGTACAAATAAGTGGATTGTTGCGGAACTTATGGGTGGACTTCTGCGGTACGAGCGCAGCGAGTTCCGCAGCCATCTACTCACCAATACACTATTCAACTGTTCAAATAAGACACTCATCTGAAACGTGTACTTTTTAAACTGAGAATAACTCACATTCGAGTGAGTCAGGTTAGTATCGTAATTAAACAACATATTGATGAATAGATGGCTGCGGAACTCGCTACGCTCGTCCCGCAGAGGTCCACCCATAAGTTCCGCAACAATTCACTCATTTGTACTTGAATAACTTGTCACATTATGTTACTAGTTTGGTAAAGTAACATTACTAATTTCTGTTGAAAGGCAAATTGACAAAAAATGAATAATCTTACAAATTTTGACTTTATATAATAAATTATTATTCAAATACAAATAAGTGGATTCTTACGGAACTTATGGGTGGACCTCTGTGAGACGAGCGCAGCGAGTTCCGCAGCCATCTACTCACCAATACACTATTGAACTGTTCAAATAAGACACTCACCTGAAACGTGTACTTTTTAAACTAATGAGAATAACTCACATTTGAGTGAGTCAGGTTAGTATCGTAATTAAACAACATATTGATAGATAGATAGCTGCGGAACTCGCTGCGCTCGTCCCGCAGAGGTGCACCCATAAGTTCCGCAACAATTCACTCATTTGTACTTGAATAACTTATTACATTATGTTACTAATTTGGTACTGTACTTGTACTTCAAGTAAATCTATTAATAGTTATTTACCTAACAAATGCGGAAAGTGATACTTTACCGCACGCAACGACAGTTGACTGAACGACGCGAAGCGGAGTTCGGTCAAGCCGTTAAGGGCGGTAAAGGCACTTTCCGCATGTGTTAGGTACAAAATTTTACCTATGAGCATCTACAATTCCAAAAAAAAGGCATTGATCAAATTAATTAATGGTTCAGAATAATTAATTAAATGAGATAAAATTCAGAAATGATCAAAAATCCATTTTCTGGAAAAAAGAGGATTTTTGATTATAAATATCAAATTCTACTTTACCGCACACTATGTGGTAAAGTGCACTTTACCGCACACTTTGTGTTCTACTTTACCGCATACTATGCTGTAAAGTTGACTTTACCGCACACTATGCGGTAAAGTGCACTTTACCGCATAGTGTGCGGTAAAGTGATACTTTCCATTTGCAAATACGTGCGGTAAAGTGCACTTTACCGCACGCTCGTAGGTAAATATATTTACTTCATATTTGTACTTCAAGTAGTTTCGTAATGTACTTATGCCGGTTCTGGATCCAAATCAGAATTCAGAACTTGTGGACTTGTATTAAAACTACAAACATGTACTACAGAAGAATACTGAAATTTCAATTTTTTCTACGTAGAATGTGACTGATTTAGTAATGCCAACACAACAGTGCAAAATCACAATTTTTGAAAGTTTAGAAATTTGTCTGGAACAGCTTATAATAGAGATTGCATTTCTTCTCTTTCAGCTAAAGTAAGTAATATCAACTTTACATAGAAGGTATATTACATCTTCAATTTCTTACTTTAAAAGTTTTATTCTCCTGAAACACCCCAATGATTACATACCTTTGCAATTTGATCTAAATTATTATCCAGAAACCCATTAACTGCATCGGCTGATCTGGAATGAAGATGCGTCTGCCATTGCAAGAGATCACTGTAGATATCTTCAGAGTTGGAGGCCACAGAAGAACTTTGTAAAGATATGGAATATCTATATTTTTTGTAAAATAAATTAAATGCCCAATAAATGAGTATATAATATATACTATATATTATTTTCTTACTTATTTTGAATTCTATTTATCCTGTATAACAAAACGGCAGCTGAAAGGAACAGCAATATTAAAAGAAGCGTTGTGGCTACTAGTATAAGACTTTGCCTGGGCAATTTCCGGAATTCGGTTATGGCATCTTTTAACGTTCTCACTAAGCCTTTTGAGTTTTTTCTTTCCAGCATAGAACCTAAAAATCCATCTTTAAATAAATGAATAATTCTACTACAAAAAAAAAAAATACCTTCAATTTGATTTCTCACACTCTCCTTTCGCATCCTATCAAATTTAGCGCTGGCCAAAACATCTGTGCCTGAAGGCACTGATTCCAAAGGAGGTGATTCTCTGCCACTTTCTCCAGACTCTGATGAATCTTGCTCTTCGGTTATTTCCGGTTCGGGCAGAGCTTCTTCGCTTTTCGCCTTTTCCCACACTGTCCTCATATAAGCCAAAGTACTATCCCTAGACATTAGACTACCGAAAATGTGCTTGTCCTCGCTGGTCGTAATACCTACAGCATTTGGTATAATCCTAGCAGTTTTTTCTTTGGTAATTTCTTCGACTGTTAAAATTGGTATCAGCAACTATAACAATTAAGCATTATACAACATAAGAAGTTGCAATTTTTCAATAATAAATACCTTAGTGACATATCCAAACACATTAGAATAGAAAGCAAAATAGTTTTTGGTGATGTAAAGGTGTCCCTGCAGTAAAATGTCCCCGATTAAAGCGCACGAATAATGATTGAGCACTTTCTCGTCCTCTTCGACATTGGGAAAATGTCGCTGGAACTTTTTTTGGCGAGCCTTTGAGGTGGTGTGGACCTTTGGGTCTTTGCTGGCCTTGGGACTTGGCGGTTCGGCTAGCTGGCCTTGAGCGGTCATCGCTGGTGTGCTTGTACTTAGGTGTTTTAGGCTTGTTCTGGAATAGAATCAATACATTAAGTACTACTTAAAAAAATACTTGATAATCTGCAAAATTATTAAAGGTCCAATGTATTGAATCTGACTGATTTTTGTGTTCGAATTGAAATTAGGGAATCTTTGCATTTTTGGCCAGAACAAAATTAGTCCATGAATTCTACGAAAGGATCAAGATATTGAGAGTATTCTTATCATTATTAAAAGGCTAGCAATGACTGAGCAAAACTTCTCTAGGAAAAATAACGCAGAAATCTACCATTCTCTTTGTGAGAGTCATTTTTATACGGCATTTCATGATAAAATTGATGTATAGAGAAGAATAAAAGCAAGTTTTGAAAGTCAAGAAGTAGTAAACCGTCAGATAGTGACAGATTTAGAGGTACCCCATTTTCGCATACAAGCGTCGAAGAGGGTTGAAAAATACATCGATTTTGAATAGGATGGAGATATTTCTACGAGTGGCTCCTGGGGATAACGTATAGGTATAGAAAATCTGATTTTCCGTAATACAGAAGAAAGGAGTCTTGGTGCCCATATTTTCTTGCAAGCAGTGTTCACTAGAAGATTAATTGATAGAACCTGGCTTCAAAAAAATAAAGGACGGGGTATTGCAGGACGCTAAAGGGTTGAAATAAGGGCGTAATCTTGTAAGGAAAAATATTTTGGGCGATTTTTCTACAAAACCCCATCGCAAGGATGAAAATTTATAACGTCGGTAGCAAAAAACACATTGTCTTGAGTGACGCGAATAGAAAAGTATAAAAAAGTATAGGGTGACATAAGTAAAATCGAATATTCCATATGTTATCCCCAGGAGCCACTCGTAAATTTCCCTTATTCTACTCAAAATCAACACGTACTGAGAATGTATACTTGTTGTAGGTGAAGAAAGTATAGATGATTACAAATACATAAAACTGCTAAAAATGAATTAATGAAGCACTGGTAAATCCTTGTGTAGCTTGACATAATTATGATTTTGGCTGATTCATTTTATAGATTGATTCACATACAAATATACATCAATTTTCAGTTGAAATTCAACCAGAGAAACGTAGAAATCCTATGCCTGGCTCTCCTATAGCTGAAATTTCCATTAGAGAATTATTAAACTCTGATATCTGGCAATCTTCTACTGTTGAATTTAAGTTGTAAAGGTTTGAAAAGCTAATTTTTGACATTCCCGAAAAAGAAATTCAACTAGGAGGCGTAAAAATCCTATTTCGAACTCTCCCAGAACTGCAGGGGGGTCAGAAACAGGAAAATACCAGTGGCGTACACTCTCTCATTAGATCGACGAATGGAGAACCGTACGAAAATATACAAAACTGTATGATTATTCAGAAACTGTACATAGGATTGAATTCATACTAACGTGGAAAGGTTGAGGGGGTAGTCAGAAACAGGAAAATACCAGTGGCGTACACTCAATCGACCTACGAATGGAGAACCATACGAAAATATACAAAACTGTATGATTATTCAAAAACTGAGGTCGTTTTTTATTAGTTCTATATTCTTGAAGGACACAAATGCCCCGATTCCAAAAATATATATTTTGTCTATATTTGGTTGAGCATTCTCTTAAATATTCGGCTCCAAAAATTGTAAAAATACTGTACCGGGTGATTGTCCATATTTTGCACCCACACCTATCTCACTTGTTTGGATGAAATACCCAGAAATGTCAAATGTGAAAGTTAATGTAGGTAATTATCAGAAACTTTGCAATGAAGTTAATTACAAGTATACAGGCGTGCGTCACAAAAGTGTGGCAAAGCAACTTTTTTAAACGGAACACTCTGTATATTGGTGACCCATTGGATTAGTCTTTCAAACCTGATTCCAAATATACTAGGTTTTTTAGGTTAATTCCTAATAGTCAAGGAGAAAATTAGAAAAAAAAGGGGTGGAATAATCGCATTTTCATTGAAAAAGAGAACACCAGCAAAATAAATAGGTCAATAATATACGGGGTGTTCCATTTTTAAAAAGTATAACTTTGCTCCCCACACTTTTGTGACACACCCTGTATACTTGTAATTAACTTCATTGCAAAGTTTCTGACATTACCTACAACTTTCACATTTGACATTTCTGAGTATCTCTTTAAACAGGTGAGAGGTGTGGGTGCAAAATATAGAGAATCACCCGGTACATGGGATTAGATTCATACCAACGGGGAAGGTTAAGGGGGTCTTCAGGAACAAGGCGATACCAGTGGCGTACACTCGATCGATCTACGAATGGAGATTTATATGAAAATATACAAAATATAGGGACATTAGTGGCGTACACTCCTTCGACCTACGAATGCACATTTCAGATGACAATTATTCGAAAACTGTATACGGGATTAGATTCATACTAACGGGGATGGTTAAGGGGGTTGTCAGAAACAGGGTGACACCAGTGGCGTACGTATGAAGTTGCAATTTTTTTAGTTTTTTTATACGTATCTAGTTTAAAGCCAAAAAATATTGAATAACAATAAAAGTATATGCAATAAAAAATTCATTACCGGCGCCACTGATCGTTCTGGTGTCTTCGGCATTTTGTCAGAGAACTTCACAGTAGTAACTCTCTCCTATTGTTGAAATTTCGAGGAGAGGAGTTAAAACTCTCATAGAATTTGAGATGAATTAAAGCGGTCATTTCTGACATTCCTGGTGTTGAAATTCGATTGGAAAATCGTAAAAATTTTATTCCCGGCTCTCCTAGAGCTGAAATTTCCACTAAGAAAGTATCTTTATAAGCCAAATTGTTCTGTTCCAAAATTATGTTGATTTTGTAATCAATATACCTAATCAGGCCCTAATGTCCTTATAGAGCTGTAAAGATGTGACTATAGAGAAGCAAAGAAATCTTATGCCCAAGTCTCCTATATTGTTGAAATTACAAGTGGAGGAGTTAAAACTCTCATTTCTGATCATCAAAGGACTTGAGTTGAAATTCAATTAGAAATTGTATTCCTGGTTTTCTGAGCTAAAATTTACACTAACTCTGATTTCTCTGGCAATCCTACTGTTAAATTTGAATTGGAAAAGTTTGAAAAGGAAATTTTTGATACTTCTACAGCAGAAACTCAACTAGAGAAGCGTAAAAATCCTATTCCTGGCTCTCCTAGAGTTGAAATTTACACTAGAGAAGTATAAAACTCTGATTTATGACCGTCAAAAAGCTCATTTTTGACGCTCCCAGAGTTGAAATTCAATTGGAAAATTGTGAAAATTTGATTCCTGGATTTTCTAGAGCTGAAAATTTCCACTTGAGAAGAATATATTTCTGATTTTTCTGACAATCGTGCTGTTAAACTTGAGCTGGAAAGGTTTTTGGACAATTCTAAAGTAGAAATTCAACTAGGAATCCCTATATTAACAAGTTCTCACGATTTCTATTGATTTGCCTTTGATTTCTACTAAATTCCCATGTAATTTTTATTGGTTTCAGTGAATTCTCATGCACAGTGTTTCGAAAAAGTGGCCTCGTATTGACCAAAAAAAGCAATAACTAGATGGAGACGACGCCTATGGAATAAAATTAAGGAAATCCTTAATAATATTATTTTGTTCTCTCTAATCATTATTTCAGGTACCTAAATATGAGTAACCTAACATTCCATATTGAATTTACGTAAGTAAGGTACAGTCGTGAGCATAAAAAGTGGGACACCCGACTGACAGATCTTGTAATTTTTCGCTATTTTGGGTAAATCAGTCTTTTCTGTACAACAGATTTTTTGTAAAATATGATAATCCCTGTCATTGTCGAATGTGTAGCTTATGAGCCCGTTTTACAATTAACCATTTGGCAATTTTTTCATTTTTAAATTTTTAATCCCAGACGAATTGATTCAAAAATGCCTCATTTTTGTTGTGTGATCAATTGTGCATCACGTGTTGAGCGAGATAGGGTGTCATTTTTCCGATTTCCTGCAATTTTGACCAATAAAGGAGAGAATTTGAATGCACTGTCGGAAGTCAGAAGAAATGCTTGGATTAGAGCTTTGCAGGGAGGCCTTTTAAGGCAAAGCATGCTAAAACATGGTCGTATTTGTTCCAAACATTTCATAACAGGTAAGGGATTTAGTATAGAAAAAAGCATATTTCAGTTTTAACTAATTATTTAGCTAATTATGAAATTAAGTATAAACTGAGATAAACTTGTGATTTCTTTCAGGAAAACCAGCTGCCTTAGATGACAATACTAATCCAGACTGGATACCCAGCCAGAATTTGGGATACGTTTCCAGCAACCTACCCAGTACATCTGCATTATCTAGTTTTGAGAGGTCCTTAAAAAGAGCGAAGATTGAAACTGAGGTACCTACTTATAAGTACTCAACTATGTAAATAATTTTTTGTTAAATAAATTTGTAATTCTAACAAAATACAATTTTATTAAACGTCCTTTTATTGAGATTACAGGTAGATAATTAGTTTCTGGTAAGTGGTAAGGTAAGTAGGGTATATACAAAATACTGAAAAAAAAACTGTTTATTTCAACAATAAATTAACAATGCTTCAGTATAAATTCTATGTAATTTTACTAAATACTTATATAACTACAACATTGCGAGAAAAGACAAGAGCCAAAATTAATATTACATAATATTACAGAATTTGTGAAAAAGTGCCCATATACAACAAAAAACTTAAAAAATAACAGCCATATGCAAAATCCTCTTTCATTTCTAAAAGCTACTTTGAAAGCTGTCATCAAAATACAAATTTTTGAAAGTGATAAGTTTTAAAAAGCACTTTTAAGTTAAAAGAGGATGTTACATGCAGCTGTAACAGCCATATTATGCAACAACATCTTTTAACTATAAAAGTGACTTTGAGAGCTGGCAATTTTGGAAATTTGCATTGCGTAGAACCTAAATTTTAAAAAGTGACAAATTTTAAAAAAATCAAAAGTATTAACCATAAGCCAGAATATTAAACAAACAAACAAATTTTCAAACAATATTAGGTGCCCAATTTTTTTTGCAACTGAGCGTATATAGTATATAATAAAAATAATAATACACTATATTATTGTATGTATGTTTTTTCATACAGATCAAATAAAAGCAAAACTAAACTAAACTATAATATAAAGACTATTTACAATTGTCACAAAACCAAGTTATGAGAGTCTCAGATATGTTAATGCATTCAAAGTGAAACCACTCAATGTCACAATTGTCACTATCACATTTTAACATTGGGCGTCCATCATCTGGCTTTTAACACGAACACCACAGTGTTAATTTACCCATTCCTCCTTTTTCGGTAAAGTACCTGCCTAAGAGTTCTGGTCTGATAACATATGCATGGAAATCAAGTGCTTTTTTGATATTTTCCAAACAAAAGTCATTATCGTACCATATTCTTTCAACAAATAATAAATGTTTGGACCATATTACAAAATCACAATATTTACGTTGGGTCACAAACATCTGACATTGCATTTGATAATAATAGCAGTGGCTGCGGTCCAAAGAATATTCATTTTCATTGAAAATTAGGCAGGTATGCTTTTTAGACGCAAAGTCTTCGAAGCTTGTCGCATCTGCTAATAGGTATGGACATTTAACTTCCACACACCCCAAACCACAACAGGAACATGACACCAAACCATCAGGTGATGCAGCAACTTCAGGATGCTTCTGGCATATTATGAATCCACTTGCCGACAACATAAAGTTGGTATGTTGGTCTTTATAATATTTCTCGTACTCTTGTAAAGCAATTTTTTCATGCTTGATTCCATACGAGGTTGCCTTATTATAAAAAAATTACCTTTTGTGGGTAGCAAACACCTTTCACAACCGTTAAAGAAGGTTTCTGGATCGTCGTTCTACAAACTGCCTTAAATCTAGAAGCAGTGATTCTTCCGGCTCTGTATTTGAACCAGGTGCTATTTTGAGACTGTTCTCGGGTTGTTGCCTCAATAGCTTTGCATTGGTCCTCAGTTAAAGTCAAATCCAGAGTTTTTGATATGGCTAGCAATTCCTCGTATGATTTGCTGACCATATTTGACGAATACCAGTTGTCTAAACTTGGCGGCAAATTTTGAGGGACATTGTTTGCCATTGCTATCTGGGATGCAAATGGTTCCAATAATCGACAAATTGCAGGCTGAATATCGGTTTTTTGAAGTTTGGTCAACAGAGTACAAAGTTCTTCTTTATCCAGACAAGGAGCGTGCTTCTGAGACAAAGTCTTTGGCTCTATTTTTTTTTTTTTGACCAATCCATCTCTTGCACTCTAAGCATTTCAACTTTTTTCATTGGAGGAACTGGCCAAAGTGAGAGTTGTTCGGTGCAGGATGGGCCAGGTCCACTGTCTTCCAAGGTATTTGGACGAGCGTGTAAGTAGAAAAGGACTGTCGAGACATGACTGCAGACTTCTGATATGCCAGCCATGCCGCATGTGCAGTGGGCACTAGAAATACTTGTATCCTTAAGGATAATAACCCAAACCTTGAGTAATTTTTCCCTCTTTCTTTGAGAGTGTTGAACTTGTAACAAAGAGAAAAATATTAATAGGCATGTTTGAATGCTTTGTGAATTAACAATTTTCAATAATATGAAGAAACTAATTTTAATTTTCTTATTCGTAAGTAAACACTGTAAAGCAAAATGAATAAATAACTATTTCTCTATTATTACCTTAGCAATGACAACAAATGCATCATCGTTGAACTGCTTTGCCAAAACCCCTTGAACAGAGCCAGCTTCGAACTGCTTGTAGGCTTGCAAGCTTTTGTAAGCCTTGAGCTGTTGGCCTGTATAAAAGCTGTGACTTAGAATTAGATAGTTCACTAGATCCATCATTGTAATATTGGGGAGTTTGTACAAATCAAGCTTGCATTCCTCAACTGGAATTGCATAGGGGTCAACATTGTCTATTATTTCCATTTTCCGATTATATCGGCACTTAACATCACCACTTAAACTCAAATAATAGTCACTTCGATACATTTTGTATAAATTAACGCAAAAACAAAGCAAAAAAGCACAGAAATCAAATTTGTATAACAAGCCAGGCGTGTAAACAAAGGAAGAATAAGAATAAATCTTTTGTATGCCACCCAGGCAAAATGGCGGACCGGTCAAAGTCACGTTGTCCTAGAATGGTCAATAGGAAAAATCTGTTGTCCCATTTTTTGTGCTCACGACTGTATAGTATTTGTAATACCCATTTAGAATAACTCCATCCTTATTTATCAATCACGAATCAGATGAAACAAAAAATTACCAACAAAAACGAACGTCGATTGCTAATACGTCAATTTCGTGTACAAATAGGAAATTCCTAACCTAATTTTATTTGTGTGTCAAGAAGCGACATACGTTTTGTCACTAGAACGACTGGTACTTCTAAATAGGTATTAAAAATACTATACCTATACTATCTATAAGGCCTTATAATTTAGATTTTTGTAAATTTTAAAAAATCATATTTTTTTTCTATTAGAGATAGAAAGTTGAAATTTTCAGCGATTCTTATCCCAGTAGAGGACTACAATCCCTTAAAATTTCAGCTCATTTGGACTTATAGTTCCAAAAATAAAACCGTGTTAAGCAATTTGGGATGATGTATCAATTTTTCAATTTTTCTGAGTGCCTGTTTTCATAGAATCCGGCTCCAAATCTCAGGATAATTTAGTGTATGGAGTTTGGGGGGGTCTCCAATAATTATTTAAATCTCAACTGTTTAAAGAGATACCCAGAAATTTCAAATGTGAAAGTTAATATCAGAAAATTTGCAATGAAGTTATTTGCAAGTATATAGGGTATGTCACAAAAGTGTGGCGAAACAGAGTTATATTTTTTCAAATGGAACACCCCATATATTATTGACCTCTTGGATTAGCCTTTCAAACCTGATTCTAAATTTACTAAGTTTTTTAGGTTTATTCCTTACAGTCCAGCCTCTGAATATCACATTTTGAAGAAATTATGTGGATTTTTTACTTGAATGATTATCTTTATATTTTGCTGGTGGTCTCTATGGTTCACATTTTTCAATAAAAATGCAATTATTCCATCCTTTTTTATCTTATTTTCTCCCGGACTATCAGGAATAAACCTAAAAAACCTAGTACATTTGGAATCAGCTTTGAAAGGTTAATCCAATGGATCAATAATATACGAGGTGTTCCATTTAAGAAAGTTCAACTTTGCTTTGCTACACTTTCATGACACTTATTATAACTAACCTCATCGAAAACTTTCTGATATTACTTACAACTTTCACATTTGACATTTCTGGATATCTTACCAATAAAAAAAATTACTTGAATTTGGTAATTATTTACCTATCTAGTACCTATAACTTACCTAATACTTACTTGTCCTATGTACCTATATAATTCATATTATAGAAATTGAAAGGTTACTTAAAAATATCGTTAAGATATCAGAGGTAATTTTAAATAATTTATGAGGCCATTTTACATGAAAAAGTTTTTGATAATTCAATAATTAATAATTCATTATAAGTAAAGTAGTTTCTAATAAGTAGGTACTTATATTTTGCTTTTAATAGCCCACTCGATAATTATGATAATTTTTTTAAATAATATAGTTTTTTTTTTTTGCAAAACAACTACATATTATACCAAGTATCCCAGGTCAAAATTTTCCAAAAAAAAATATTTTAACCTTCTATAATCTCTGGTAAATATTTAATCACATTGCATAAAACAATAATGTTTTCTGTATCCAGTGTTTATTTTGCCAAGAAAAAACAAATATTCAACTAACCATACCCTTACCTATCTCCAGAATCATTACTGGAACTATCATCATCGTAATCAGCAGGTACTGCCTCTTCTTGCGTGAACAATTTAAGCTTAAAACGCGGCATTTTCAACTTTTCACCAACCGAAACACTCAAAAATAAATGAGACACCGTTTCGTTAACAACATACAAATTGAAGTATTTATGTGATTAAAACATTGTTGATCTTAGATATAGAGTTCAAAATTTTAAAGGTTTAGATAAGTTTTTAAAAATATTGTACACTTTTCTGTTCCGAGACTAATGAATGAATTTCCAAAACACTACTGACTGACAGCAGTGTGGTTATTTAATAATTTATTGAATCGCATATTATCGCCTCCAAAATATGTATAATCTTATCACGTGTGTTATATGTTAGTCAACAATTATAGTCACACTAATTTTTGTCCCAGTTTGTAGATTCACTAGGTATAATAGTCAAATGCAGAAATTCTATATATTACATAAATTGCTGTAGGTACCTATGTCAATTTATATTTTGATCTTATCAATTTTGCAGGTGTCAGATGCGAATAGGAATTGTTACTATTTGTACCGTGAAAATGATAATAGTTTATCAAATCAGCTGTGTACACAAATTGGTAATGATAAAGCCCACTTTCAGGGGGTTTACAATAATAGATCGATAACTATTAACGAGTCCAAAGTTTATTTTATATATTATGAAACTTAAAGTTGGATCTTCACGAATTAGATTGTATTGTAAGTTTCTCGATAACTTACTTGTCAACTTTGGTGAAAACTGAATGGCTCGGACTGCGTTGAATCGTCGAACTGACCAGGGGCTCTGCTGGTCCCCCATGCGGGGCACCGAGCTGCCCCTGGGGGGTTCCTGGTGCAGAACGGGGGCCCACACTTCCGAAATTCCCCGACGACCTGAAATAACAATCAATAAATGTATTGGAGAATCCAATGAATAGCATAAATCCATACATATAATCTCAATTAATCAATAAAATGTATTATTTACTTAATTATTTTTGGTTAAGCAAATCTGATATAGAACTTAAATCACTGACCAAGCGAATTAAAATCGTAATGTTGACTGTTATTAGCTAACAATGGAAATTAATCATTTCATGCATTACATGAATCACTAACAAATTTACGATTTTTTTAATAGTTTATTATTTTTAAATGTAATTAAATTTAATAGGTAAATTATTGGGCTTTAAATAAATTCGAACTTCCTCAATTATGATTCTTGGACACGATCCAACTCAATATTAGTTGGATATTGATGCAAAATTTGCGTCTTTGTAATTCATTTAGGTATATAAGAGAGGAAGGAATAGTAGGGAATATTAAGAGTTGTCAATCCTAAATATTTTTCAACAAAAGTTATCCCATGTGTGTGTTATTAGAAATCTTTTATCAAAAATAAAAATCCATGAAACCTACTAATAAATTAAGTAAGTATATACATCCTGTTGAAAATGTAATTCAACTTTCTTCATCGATACTAGTTAGTAATTGATCTACAACCCAGTAAACAGATCTGTTACATGTACGTAAAGTTTCTATAAATTTGAAATAATTTTTTTAACAGCATTAGTTTCATGTCAAGTTTATGTAAATATACTATGTAAACTAATGGGTCAATTCTGTGCCCATCTGTAAGCAAATCTATAAACATTTACTTTCTGTAGCTTACAGAAAATCCTATAGAATCGTAAATATTTCCTATCTAATCGATACGTCTTAACAGTCAATTGCGACACTGTAAATTAGACGTTTACCAGAAATCTTGGAATGGTTATTTTTACGATTCTATAAACATAAGTTACAGAGATCATCGTGAACTATGGATTTGCCAATTTGTAGAAGGTTTACGAGTGAAGTAAGTGGAAAATATTCATTATTTCTGATCTGTATCTCTTAAAAGAATTCAATAAAATATCAGCAATTTCATGATTTCCAAAGTTGTGTAAAGTTTACTCACAATACATACTTATATGATAAATAATTAAATACAACTTTTTCCTTAAGTATGGATAGAGAATGCTATAAATTTGCACCATATACTTAAAACTCCATTTTAATTTGGACAATTTGGACAATTCCCATGGGATAATAATAATTGGGCCATAGATAATTTAAAACCAACATTAACGAATGAGAAAAAATTAAACTGTATTTGTTGTATTTCTTGCTTGAAACATCACAGTAACTGTTGTCTCGGCTTATGTAGCACTCGACAGCGTTTTATAATAATTTTTTTCAGTTCCTGTTTACAAACTAAATTATAACAGAAACCAGATGCCTCTACTATATATTTTGCGTTTTTGTGCACGAAAGCTTAATTACATTGATTAAATATTTTGTGATTATTAAATCCTGCTGAGCGGAAAAATGATTCAGTTTTAATTCATTTTGTCAATTGAAACAAAATCTCAAGGGAGGACTACAATCCCTGTCGACTTTTCTTAAAACTTGATTTTTTTTATTGTATTTCAGTCTTTTCTTATGTTTTCGTTGGTCATCTTTTCCCTGTACAAATTTGCTTAGAATTACTTAGTTTCTTTCAGTAGGAAGGTACCTATTTCTCATCTTTCTCATTTCTGTCATGATGTCATTGCGTTTTCGTTTCTCAATTTTCTTATTTTAACCTGTTTTTTCTTAATAACTACTTGTTTTTGAATATCACTGGCTTTGGATTCATTGAAAAAATGCTACAGTGACAGTCAAGAGCTGATAATAATCAAAATATTAACTATTACCAGCTCTTGATTGCTACTCTAGAGCAATTTCCAAGTGAATCGGAAGCCAGAGAATAGTCCAATCATTTTCCCAGTGAATCAAGATCCAAAGAAAATCATACTCTTTATTGTCACTAGAGCAATTTTCCAATAAATCGAGAGCAGCTAATTTGGACTACTATTGGGTTCTTGATTGCTCCTAAAGCAATTTTCCAGTGAATTAAGAACTGATAATAGTCTCAACTTTTGAAATTTTCCAGCGAATCGAGTGCAGGTAATAGTTTAAATCTTGAATACTTCTGGCTCTGGATTCACTGGAAAAAAGCTACACTCACAGCCAAGAGCCAATAATAATCAAAAAATAACTTATAACCGGCTCTTGGTTGCTACTAAAATAATTTTTCAGTGAATCAGAAGCCAGAGAATGATCCAAATAGTGAATCAAGATTCAGAGAAAATCATAATTAGGATTATTGCCATTAGAGCAACTTTCCAATGAATCGAGAGCGAGTAATTTGCACTTTTATTGGTTCTTGATTGCTCCTAGATCAATTTTCCAGTGAATAGAGAACTGGTAAAAGTCCCAACTTTTGAAATTTTCCAGTGAATCGAGTGCAGGTAATAGTTTTAATCTTGAGTGGTACCTACTGGCTCTGGATTCACTGGAAAAATGCTACAGTGACAGCCAAGAGCCGATAATAATAAAAATATAGACTTTGCCGGCTCTTGAATATTACTCTAGAGCAATTTTCCAGCGAATCGGAAGCCAGAGAATGGTCCAAACATTTTCCCAGTGCATCAAGATCCAGAGAAAATCATAACTTGGATCATTACCGACTTGATTGCCACTAGAGCAATGTTCAAAGTTATCGAGAGCAGGTAATTTGCACTATTATTGGTTTTTGATTACTCCTAGATCAATTTTCCAGTGAATGGAAAACTGGTAGAAGCCCAACTTTTGAAATTTTCCAGCTAATCGAGTGCAGGTCATAATTTAAATCTTGAGCTCTTGATTGCTACTCTAGGGTAATTTTGCAATGAATGGGAAACCAGAGAAAAGTCCGAACGCATTTTCCCAGTAAATCAAGTTCCAGAGAAAATCATAATTTGGATCATTACCGACTCTTGATTGCCACTAGAGCAACTTTCCAATGAATCGAGAGCAGGTAATTTGCACTATTATTGGTTCTTGATTGTTCCTGGATCAATTTTCCAGTGAATGGAGAACTGGTAAAAGTCTTAACTTTTGAAATTTTCCAACGAATCGAGTATAGGTAATAGTTTAAATCTTGAATACTACTGGCTCTGAATTCACTGGAAAAATACTACAGTGACAGCTAAGAGCCGATAATAATGAAAATATGGATTATTACTAGATCTGATTGCTACTCTAGAGCAATTTTCCAACGAATCGGAAGTCAGAGAATAGTCCAAACTTTTCCAATGAATTAAGATCTAGAGAAAATCATAATTTGGTTCATTACCGACTTGATTGCCACTAGAGCAGTTCTCCAATAAATCAAGAACCGCCGGTACCTGGGCACATTTGCTGTAAGTCAATGAAGACGTTGATATACCATGACCATCGAGGTCAGAAAAGCCATAGGGAAAATTACTTACTTTCTACTCATCAGCCACTTCTGAAAGAGGACATTGAAGAGATCTCAACTGCAAGTTTTAGCCTGAAACATCTCTCAGATTAGATAGCCTATAGAAATTCAATAAAATTAGATACTTGCAAATTGAAATGCTGCATGAATCTTCTTGAGATGACATCTCAGTGCAAATTACAATCGGAACAAGACTTTTTGGAGCTAGGAGAGCTACAGAAGAAGACTCAATGACAATATAATCATTCCAGCAATTAGCTGTAATACGCTGTGAAAACACTGTAGATAGAGCACCGTCATTAAGCCAACGCCGAGACGATGTTCTGTTCTCACAAGAGTATCTGACAATTTGCGAAATGCCAGAAAAAACTGCTCAGCTAAGTTACCGATTCATGTTGGAACGAGGACAATGAAAACGTATATGGGTGATCCTTTCCGACAGTTTGCAAATTGTCGGAAACTCTTGTGAAAACAGACCTATTAAAAAGCTCCGAGTTTAAAGATCTTATGATCAAAGAAAACAGAATACTTAGAACAGAATACGGAACCCAAAGACTTCATAAAAACAGAATTGCACTGAACTGTTCTTCAAAACACAGATAGAATCAAAAAGAGCCGATAATAATGAAAATATGGACTATTACCGGCTCTTGATTGCTACTCTAGAACAATTTTCTAGCGAATCGGAAACCAGATCAATCAAGATCTAGAGAAAATAATAATTTGGAGTATTACCGACTCTTGATTGCCACTA